CCTATTATTCATGCCAGTCTTATGCTTCATGTATTTTTGTTTGGTATCTAAGCACTGTATGATTGGTCTGTGTGTGCTTGTGGCTAGGTAGTTAGTAAAATCAACTACTTAACTAACATAAATCATATAGCTATTACTTTACTTCCTAAATAGAGTGATAGGTTCATTTTGAGGTTAGCTCACTACATGTAGTTCATTAGCAGTTGTTGTCTTGCTAGTTTGCTACATTCAGGGAATTGTTGCTTGCTTTTCTAGTGTTGTCTTTGGTGTTGGTTTGCACTTGGTGTTCACTTAGTTTTGTACTCGGTTACATTCAGTGTTCTACATCGTGCAACTAAGGTTCATTGTCTTTGCTTAATCATGTAGAATCAGTTGTTTATACTTGACCCAATATCTGCGCGCGCAATAGTACACTCTGCACTGATGCACATTGCATTCTAATACTTAGATAGTATTACGTGATGTGGTAAGTCATCACTAGCATGTACTGAAGACAAGCTTTAGTAAGTAGCTTGTGGGGTACCTGTGCACTACTTATCAACATACTTAGATTACATAGCAATTCCATTGACCTTGCCAATTATTTCTTATAATACACATGTAATGGGTATATTACCGTAGAATTCCTACACTGCGTGACATCATTGTACTTTGATTTTACGTGTGTGTAGTTAAGCACATTCATTTAGCTAACTGTGTAGTTTCTTTTCTGTGTGATTACATTGCACTCCAAGATCACACATCCCAATTTTTTTGGTTGGTTTATTTAAGTCTCTTTCAGCCTTTTGTTTTTTTGTTTTGTTTTTCACTTTGAATTTCGCCTACACGTCACAATGGCAGAAGGAGGACTTTCTGAGGAAGAGGTGCAGAAATTAATTTCTTCTTTTCAAAAACTAAAACTTCACCCTAAAGCTGACACACCAGAAGACTTGTTGAAGTGGATATCCGAAGTCGGTCAGGTAAAGCAGGAACATGGTCAACATGGTCAAGCACAAGCAGGTTCAGAAGGTACTGTCACCCTGGCCCATACTCCACAGCTTCCATACTTTTCTGGTGACAGGAAGGGGGATGCCGATTTCGATCAATGGAGACACGAGTATACTTGTATGTCTACTCGTTACTCTTCAAAGATCGTTTCTGAAGCTGTTCGGCGCTCGTTACGTGGTAGAGCTGCTAGAGTGGCTATGCATGTAGACAAGGATGCCCCGTTGAAGGCAATCATCTCCAAGCTTGCTAGCGTGTTTGGTGATGTTCACACGGAACACAACATTATGTCACAGTTCTACACAGCCAAGCAAGGGGATGAAGAAAGTGTAGCAGAGTGGTCATGCCGACTAGAGGATATTTTGAGCCAAGGAGTCACACTTGGAAAAGTACAGCCTGGACAAACAGAAGATTTACTAAGGACTACCTTGTGGACTGGACTTGGATCACAACTGAGGGACCTCACAAGTCACAAGTTTGATCAAGGTGGATCATTTGAAGACTTTCTTCGTTACCTCAGGCAGGTGGAAGCCGACTTAAAGGAGAGGAACCCAGTGTCTAAGAAGAAGCCTGATGCCACAAGTAAGGCCACATTCACTCAGGATTCAGAGCTTAAGAAATCCGGGGAATCCTGAAGTCCATGTCAACAGAGATTGCTGCTCTCAAGAAACAGAATAAGGACGCCAAGGAATCAGACTCTTCACAGGCAAACACAGGAGCAGCAAGGTATAACCAAGGTCAAGGTCAATCATGGCAGATACCCCCTCGACAGTGGATACGTCCACAACAGCCTAGAGAAAATCCGCAGTTTGGACGTGGTGGCCAACATAGATTCCAAGGACCACAGACCTTTTCTGATATTCAGGTTTGTTACCGATGCGGACAACCTGGACACATTAGGAGAGGATGTAGAGCCAGGATAGACAATGGCCCTTTAAACTTCAATCGGCCTATGGGGAGAGGCGGACCATGGGCCTAGACACACAGCATGTCAGCAGTCAACAGCAGTTGGTTGCAGAGTTAGTTGGTAAGCCTACTGAGACTAATATCATGGTCAATGGTGTTAGTTCCAGGGCTTTACTTGACACAGGAGCGACCATTTCTTCTATTTCCGAGTCTTACTACCAACAGAATTTCAGTGAGATTCCTATTGAGCCACTTAAACACATCCTTAACATCGAGTGTGCAGATGGAGAGTTTTTACAGTATAGTGGATACATTGTTGTGGACATTCAGGGAACAGGAAGTGCTCTATCCAAAGTCTGATGTTTACTTCTTGTAGTTCCTGACAGTTGTTACAACCAGACAGTTCCAATTACTCTAGGTACCAACGTTCTCTCTGTCTACATGCTCCAGTGCAAGGAGGAGTTCGGGGAAAGATTCCTTCAGGAGAGAGAACTTGTCAAGAACAACTACTCCATAGGACGAATTAGAAGTTCAGAGCCAGGTCGCAAGATAATTCCAGCTAATTCTGAAATTGTTATTCGTGGACATGTGATACAGCCCCTACCTTACAGATCCACTTGCGCCATTATTCAGCCTACAAGAGGATCAGTCATCCCAGACGACCTTGACAATGAACCAACTTTAGTTTCATATGATGGAAGAGGACAGAAGATGTTTGTGGACATATATGTATCAAACCTCACAACTCGTTCTGTTTCCATTCCAAGTCGTGCTCTCTTATGCGAACTACAAGTTGTTAGCACAGAAGATGTACCGGAGATTCATCCTTTTACTCCAAGTAAGGACACAGATATTATGAATCTTATGGACTTTAAGGAAGCCAGTGTAACAGACAAGGAACTTCAACAAGGGAAGCAAGTTATTTCCGACTACATCGACATCTTTTCAACAGGAGACACAGATGTTGGTCACACTTCTTCAGTGCAACATAGGATCGACTTAGTAGATGACACGCCATTTAAACAGCGACATCGTCGAGTCCCACCAGCCATGTATCAGGAAGTTAAGGATCACTTGCATCATCTACTCCTTGCTGGTGTCATAAGACGTTCTCACTCTCCATGGTCATCCAATGTTGTGCTTGTGCGCAAGAAGTCAGGAAAATTAAGGCTATGTGTAGATTTTCGCCAACTGAACCAGAAGACGATCCGAGACAACTACGCAATTCCGAGGATAGAAGAGATGTTCGAAGCCCTCTCAGGAACAAGACTTTACAGTACCTTGGACATGAAGAGTGGTTATCACCAAGTAGAGATAGAGGAAACACACAAGGAAAGAACAGCCTTCACCGTTGGACCCTTGGGATTTTACGAATACAACCGTATGCCCTTCGGATTATGTAACAGCCCAGCGACATACCAACTGCTTATGAATGAATGTTTTGAAGGTCTTCACTTGAAGATATGTCTCATCTACTTGGATGACATCATCGTCTACTCCCAGTCAGTCAGCGAACATCTCATCAGGCTCAGTCAAGTATTCCAGAGGATCAGAGATACAGGTTTTAAATTAACTCCAGAGAAGTGTTCCTTCTTCAAGAAGAAAATCAAGTTCCTTGGCCATGTGGTGACTGAAGAAGGAATTACAACTGATCCTGATAAAGTGGACAAGATATTGAACTGGCCTCAACCAACCAACCCAAGTGATGTCAGAAAGTTCCTCGGTTTCGCCGGATATTACCGCAAGTTTGTTAAGGACTTTGCCAAGATTGCTAAGCCTCTGTCATCACTGATGCCCCATGGTAAATCTGGAAAGTCCAAGAAGAAGGTAATGGAACAGCCTTGGACTTGGGGAGCTGAACAGGAACACGCCTTTGAGAAACTGAAGACACTGCTAGCTTCACCACCCATCCTTGGATATCCAAACTATGGAACACCATTTGAGCTCCACACCGATGCCAGCGGTCAAGGACTTGGTGCAGTATTATATCAGGAACAGGATGGTGTGAAGAGAGTCATCAGCTATGCCAGTAGAGCACTCACCAAGTCAGAAGCAAACTATTCATGATCAGCTCATCGTTTGGAATTCCTTGCACTCAAGTGGGCGGTTTGTGAGAAATTCCATGACTACCTGTATGGAGCAAAGTTTACAGTTCTCACAGACAACAACCCCTTGACATACGTGCTCACCAGTGCAAAGTTGGATGCCACAGGTCACAGGTGGTTGGCAGCCCTTGCAGCATATGACTTTGATGTTCAGTACCGGCCAGGATTGAAGAATACAGACGCGGACACCTTGTCAAGGCTTCCGGAACTTAGTAGCAACGCCCCCACAGAACAACTTTCCATGGAATCTGTGAAAGCCATTTGTGGAGTTCTACACACTCAGCCTTACATAGAGTCTTTGTACCTTTCTACAGCTGCAGTTGATGAGGAATTACACCAAGAAGGGAAGGATCTGCAAGGAATGACAGACCGGGATTGGCGTATGACACAGGCTGCTGACGCAACCCTGTACCCATGGATCCAAGCAGTAAGAGTCAAGAGGAAACCCAGGAGACAAGACTATCCGCATACCCCAGCTGACACATCATTACATCGATGCTTCGACAACCTCACTCTCCAGCGTGGGATTCTATATCGCCAGATCAAGTCTGAAGGAGAGACAAAGTATCAGCTGGTGTTGCCATCACGATTTATCCCTGATGCATTACAAGGCTTGCACAACGAGATTGGACATCCAGGACGTGACTGAACACTATCACTCCTACGTGACAGGTTCTATTGGCCAGGGATGCAAGCTGACACAGAAGACTGGATCTGGAATTGCAACAGATGTTTGAAAAGGAAGACACCAACAAATGCTAGTATCACAAGTACCCAGCCTTTGGAATTAGTCTGTATGGACTTCCTTACTCTGGAGACTTCAAAGGGAGGATACCAACATCTGCTTGTGATAACTGACCACTTCACACGATACGCCCAGGCAATACCTACTCGGAACTTAACTGCCAAGACAACAGCAGAGGCGTTCTACAACAATTTCGTTATGCATTATGGGATGCCAATGCGGATCCACAGTGACCAGGTGCAAACTTCGAAAGTAGACTCATGAAGGAGGTTTATGACATTCTAGGCCTATCTAAGTCAAGGACCACACCGTACCATCCAATGGGAAATGGCATGACAGAAAGGTTTAACCGGACACTGCTTGACATGCTTGGTACTCTGCAGCCAAGTCAGAAGAAGGATTGGAAATCACACGTGAGACCATTAGTCCATGCCTACAATGCTACCAGGCACGAGTCGACTGGCTACACTCCTTTCTACTTGATGTATGGAAGAGAGCCTCGCCTACCTATTGATCTTGCATTTGGAATCGAAACGAACCGGGACAAGCACACTCTAACATCTTATGCTGAAGCCCTTAGACAGCGACTAGAACAGTCTTACAAGATTGCTTCTAAAGCATCAAGAACAGCCCAAGGTCAACAGAAAGCAGGCTATGATTTGAAGATCAGAGGTGCTATTGTGCAACCCGGAGAGAGAGTCCTTGTCAAGATTCTAGCCTTTGAAGGCAAGCATAAGCTTTCGGACAAATGGGAGGAGGACCCTTACATCGTTACTTCTCAGCCAAACATGGGCATTCCAGTGTTTGTTGTGCAGAAGGAAAACGGAGAAGGCAGAACACGTACTCTGCACAGGAATCACCTCCTTCCCATAGGATCTTTGCCAAGGACAGCTGAGCCAGACAAGCCAGCCAGACCAATTCCAACTCCGAGACCACGTCGCAGGAAAGGACAAACATTGCCAGCCAAGGAGACAACAGAAGTGTCGGACCAGGAGGAAATCAAGTCGGTTAGTATAGAGAGCTTGACAGCTGGAGTACCCATAGTGACTGATGACATCACAATCATCAGTGAAGAGTCTATAGAAGATGGCGCTATCTCACAGTCTGAAGGTGACGACCCGACGACTGGAGGGGTAGACAGTGCATCTTCTGATGGTGACGGCCATACACTGCAGGACAGTGATCCCCTCAGTACAGAAGTTGATGCTGGAGATGTAAGAACTGAAGAACAGGATCAGGAACCAGACTTACCTAGAAGAGCTCCCACCTCTTTGACACCTGATGTCCGACCAAAATCAAAACCACCACCAAGAACCTCTACCCGACAGAGAAGACCACCGGAATGGCAGCGCTCAGGGGACTATGTCATGAACCAGGCTACTGCAGAGGATTGGAGACGAAAGGCCAAACTCCTAGAGCAACTGGCAGAGGTTGGAGTCTTCCAGCAACTTGGTGGAGCCATGTCACAGATGATAGTTTCCCTACTGGATAAACCCGGCAAATGACGAGGACGTCATTTGTGTGGAGGGGGAAGTATGTGGCAGAGTAATATTTTGTACATACAAGTTAGATTTTAATTCTATTTAAGCTATAGTTTTATACACATTCTATTTCATATTTGAATTAAGTAGTACATAGTTTATTTACCTGTCTTACTGTTGCCATATAATTGTATTTCAGTTTAAACATTAATACCACAGCTTATCTGTTTCATTCAGTCTATTATTTATCCAGCCTTGACTAACCATACCACTGCATGCTTTTCACCCACAGCACTTAGTATCCCACCCCGCGCATAGAGTACTCTATTGTTCTCTGTGGTCACTCACAGCTGACCACAGGTATACCTTTGTTTGCTTGTGATCTGAGGCAGTTGCCAGATTACACTTGACATATGTACTCCATAGTCATTTTGTATATATTTTGAATGGATCTTGTATTCATGGATCGAATAGATGTGATTATTTCATGGATTTGAAGGTTAGTCATAGTATATTTCTTGTGTGATACTTTATATGTATTTGTGTATTTCTAATTCTTAAAGTTAGAAATAAGTTGTGCTTGGTTTATTGCTAATCAGGTTGTGTATTGAATCCACAGTTTAGTGTGTTTTGGTTATGATTATTTTATATGATAAAGTATTATAAAGCAGTTTCTTTAATTGATAAATAGCTAATTTATCCTAGGCTATTATCATCTTAACTTGAACATTAACTAAATAAAACTAAACCCTAAATAAACTGTAGTAATTCTATACCTCATATCACATTAAGGTAATTGTGTCAATTGTGTACAAGAATGTATGCGTATGTGTGAAAGTGCATTATTTAAGTAATTTGATCAATCCTTATTTTAAATACCTATTTTACTTATGTGTTTTGTATAATTATAGTGTAAATAGTATCTGCATTAGTTTATACTTTGTCAATGCAGATGTAACTGGCACTATCTTAGAAGCTTTGGTGACACGGCACAGGTTTCACCAGTCTGGTATGTATTGTTTATGTGTTACTCATGAATGTATAAATGTATGTATCTATATATATGCTTACGTATATCTTTGTAATTATCATGTAGTATTGTACTTGTCTAGTGTTATGACAGTAGACATGGTTTATGTTTAGTTTAAACTGATTATAGAGTCATAAGCAGATATAATATATATATCATTGTACAGGTTACTTCCTACATGAGTAACATTGGTTTCTTGCTAATTGAATGTCCCTTAGATGTACAGTCATTATGTATATTATAATAATGTCAATGTTCTATGTCTTGTATGCAGTATGTCTTATTATTTATACATTGTTGCAGGCCGTATTTATTCACCATTCTCTTCTAAGAGAATAAACAGCCTTCAGCTCACACCCTGTAGCCGTTTGTTGTGTTTACCACCCCGACAACTACCGCTACTACATAGATACAGTAGGGGGCTTCTCCATGTGGTCGTCACCGGGTCGCTAACGCTGTTTTTACCATGATATGGTTTTGTGTTCAGGGTGGATAGCCACATCCCTGGTGTAGATACAGTAGGGGGCTTCTCCATGTGGTCGTCACCGGGTCGGTAACACTATTTTACCATCATATGTTGTTGTGTTCAGGGTGGATAGCCACATCCCTGGTGTAGATACAGTAGGGGGCTTCTCCATGTGGTCGTCACCGGGTCGCTAACACTGTTTTACCATGATATTTTGTTGTGTTCAGGGTGGATAGCGAGATCCCTGGTGTGATACAGTAGGGGGCTTCTCCATGTGGTCGTCACCGGGTCGCTAACACTGCTTTGACCATGATATGGTGTTGTGTTCAGGGTGGATAGCCACATCCCTGGTGTAGATACAGTAGGGGGCTTCTCCATGTAGTTGTCACTGGGTCGCTAACACTATTTTACCATGATATGTTTGTGTGTACAGGGTGGATAGCCACATCCCTGGTGTAGATACAGTAGGGGGCTTCTCCATGTGGTCGTCACCGGGTCGTAAACATTATTTTACCATGATATTTTGTTGTGTTCAGGGTGGATAGCGAGATCCCTGGTGTGATACAGTAGGGGGCTTCTCCATGTGGTCGTCACTGGGTCGCTAACACTGTTTTACCATGATATGTTGTTGTGTTCAGGGTGGATAGCCACATCCCTGGTGTAGATACAGTAGGGGGCTTCTCCATGTTGTCGTCACCGGGTCGCTAACACTGTTTGACCATGATATGGTGTTGTGTTCAGGGTGGATAGCCACATCCCTGGTGTAGATACAGTAGGGGGTTTCTCCATGTGGTCGTCACCGGGTCGCTAACACTGTTTTTACCATGATATGGTGTTGTGTTCAGGGCGGATAGCCACATCCCTGGTGTAGATACAGTAGGGGGCTTCTCCATGTGGTCGTCACCGGGTCGCTAACACTGTTTTTACCATATGGTGTTGTGTTCAGGGTGGATAGCCACAATCTGGTGAAGATACAGTAGGGGGCTTCTCCATGTTGTCGTCACCGGGTCGCTAACACTGTTTTTACCATGATATGGTGTTGTGTTCAGGGTGGATAGCCACATCCCTGGTGTGATATAGTTGGGGACTTCTCCATGTGGTCGTCACCGGGTCGCTAACACTGTTTTGACCATGATATGGTGTTGTGTTCAGGGTGGATAGCCACATCCCTGGTGTAGATACAGTAGGGGGCTTCTCCATGTAGTTGTCACCGGGTCGCTAACACTATTTTACCATGATATGTTTGTGTGTACAGGGTGGATAGCCACATCCCTGGTGTAGATACAGTAGGGGGCTTCTCCATGTGGTCGTCACCGGGTCGTAAACATTATTTTACCATGATATTTTGTTGTGTTCAGGGTGGATAGCGAGATCCCTGGTGTGATACAGTAGGGGGCTTCTCCATGTGGTCGTCACCGGGTCGCTAACACTGTTTTTACCATGATATGGTGTTGTGTTCAGGGTGGATAGCCACATCCCTGGTGTAGATACAGTAGGGGGCTTCTCCATGTGGTCGTCACCGGGTCGCTAACACTGTTTTACCATGATATGTTGTTGTGTTCAGGGCGGATAGCCACATCCCTGGTGTAGATACAGTAGGGGGGGTCCTCCATGTGGTCGTCACCGGGTCGCTAACACTGTTTTGACCATGATATGGTGTTGTATTCAGGGCGGATAGCCACATCCCTGGTGTAGATACAGTAGGGGGGGTCCTCCATGTGGTCGTCACCGGGTCGCTAACACTGTTTTTACCATGATATGGTGTTGTGTTCAGGGCGGATAGCCACATCCCTGGTGTAGATACAGTAGGGGGCTTCTCCATGTGGTCGTCACCGGGTCGCTAACACTGTTTTTACCATATGGTGTTGTGTTCAGGGTGGATAGCCACAATCTGGTGAAGATACAGTAGGGGGCTTCTCCATGTGGTCGTCACCGGGTCGCTAACACTGTTTTTACCATGATATGGTGTTGTGTTCAGGGTGGATAGCCACATCCCTGGTGTGATATAGTTGGGGACTTCTCCATGTGGTCGTCACCGGGTCGCTAACACTGTTTTGACCATGATATGGTGTTGTATTCAGGGTGGATAGCCACATCCCTGGTGTAGATACAGTAGGGGGCTTCTCCATGTGGTCGTCACCGGGTCGCTAACACTGTTTTTACCATGATATGGTGTTGTGTTCAGGGTGGATAGCCACATCCCTGGTGTAGATACAGTAGGGGGCTTCTCCATGTGGTCGTCACCGGGTCGCTAACATGGTTTTTACCATATGGTGTTGTGTTCAGGGTGGATAGCCACAATCTGGTGTAGATACAGTAGGGGGCTTCTCCATGTTGTCGTCACCGGGTCGCTAACACTGTTTTTACCATGATATGGTGTTGTGTTCAGGGTGGATAGCCACATCCTTGGTGTAGATACAGTAGGGGGCTTCTCCATGTTGTCGTCACCGGGTCGCTAACACTGTTTTTACCATAATACAATGTTGTGTTCAGGGTGGATAGCCACATCCCTGGTGTAGATACAGTAGGGGACTTCTCCATGTGGTCGTCACCGGGTCGCTAACACTGTTTTTACCATGATATGGTGTTGTGTTCAGGGTGGATAGCCACATCCCTTGTGTAGATACAGTAGGGGGCTTCTCCATGTGGTCGTCACCGGGTCGCTAACACTGTTTTTACCATGATATGGTGTTGTGTTCAGGGTGGATAGCCACATCCCTGGTGTAGATACAGTAGGGGGCTTCTCCATGTGGTCGTCACCGGGTCGGTAACATGGTTTTTACCATATGGTGTTGTGTTCAGGGTGGATAGCCACAATCTGGTGTAGATACAGTAGGGGGCTTCTCCATGTTGTCGTCACCGGGTCGCTAACACTGTTTTTACCATGATATGGTGTTGTGTTCAGGGTGAATAGCCACATCCTTGGTGTAGATACAGTAGGGGACTTCTCCATGTGGTCGTCACTGGGTCACTAACACTGTTTTTACCATGATATGGTGTTGTGTTCAGGGTGGATAGCCACATCCCTTGTGTAGATACAGTAGGGGGCTTCTCCATGTGGTCGTCACCGGGTCGCTAACACTGTTTTTACCATGATATGGTGTTGTATTCAGGGTGGATAGCCACATCCCTGGTGTAGATACAGTAGGGGGCTTCTCCATGTGGTCGTCACCGGGTCGCTAACACTGTTTTGACCATGATGTGGTGTTGTGTTCAGGGTGGATAGCCACATCCCTGGTGTAGATACAGTAGGGGGTTTCTCCATGTGGTCGTCACCGGGTCTGCTACAGAGGGACAGGATGCTGCAACTGGCAGTCAAACGAAGCCCTCATCCGCCTGCACACTGGGTGCATACAAAGGTCAGATTGTGCAGTTGAGTTGTTAAGTTGTGTGGAATGTTTGTTTCCTGGAACAATGCTGCACGCAGTAGTATTCCAGCTATATGACAGCAATCTCTAAATAAATCTGGACAAGAATTCTACTTATGTAAATCTAGAAATCTTTCAAGAATATTTCACTCAAATAGCGACTTGTGTGTGGTGGGGAGGGAGGCTTCTTGTACATTCAGGACTAATGCTGGTTCTATAGTGAGAGATACCATGCCACAGTTTAACATGGGTACCCCACTAAGACACAGTATATTGACTCTGAGCCGACCTGTTTTAGCTCTGTGTGGCCGACCGCCAGGCAAGGTAACAACAAGTACCATATTTTATCTTCTTTTGATATGACGCGGCCGGGGATCAAACCCCCGACCTTCCGCTCTCGGGGTGGACGCTCTATCACTAGTCCACGGAGACGGTCATCGTTACTAAGTATCGTTATTACCTCGTGGGGACCCGAGTTAGAACAGGTCCACAGCAACCTATGCTTGTCGTACCCCACCCATACACAGTCTGATTACACCGAGCTGACCCGTCCCTGTTTTATCCCCTGTGCCTAGGGTAACAACAAGTACCATATTTATACATCTTTTGGAACCACTTGTCCGGGGATCGAACCACAGACCTTTGGATATCTGAGCAGCCTGTGGTCAAAACAATTTGAGAACACTTGCCCAAACTTGTGCATTGGCATCAGATCCTGTTGGTTTTTATGTTGGGCCAAGAACAAAAAAATCTGTTTCAGGTAACATGGCCCCAACAGATTATTTATGTAAGGGTATTTAATAATGTTTGACATGTACATTCATGTTTATTCTGATGTCAGTGGCAGTGTATGTCCTATTTGTTGGTCCAGCATCAGCAAAGATAATATACAGAACATTTAATCTGACATTTGGGTCACAAGTGAAACAGTGGGTTGGTCAGGTTACCTGAAACAAGTATTTTCGTTTTTGGCCTTAATAGAACAACACGTTTACCATGCCGACTAGACAAAAAGGATTTTTTCTCTAGATTTGGAACTAGTGACATAATTTGTCGATATATGAATTAAAAAACTAATACATAGCAGTAGAAGTTAACCTGAAATCTTACTGGCCTGGACAGCAATAACACATAAGAACACCAAAAATCAGCCTGAAATTCTAACAGTCTTCAGAATAACTCTATCATTATCTCAGTGGGGCTAACTGGGTAGTACAAAAGTCAGTTGCTGATTAATTTTTGATCAAAATTATCAGAAATTTTATCATTGATGAACAGACATTGGTGGCGGCCATAAACTTTTTATATTTTGACTTCTTTTCTGAAATGAATCAATGGATTCATCTGAAATTTGTGTGGATGTGTGTTACTTCAAGGGGATTAAGTGTCTTCAAAACTTGAATTTCAATATGGCCGCCAGATAGCCATTTTTCACTTGAGAACATGAGATTAAAAAGATCTTCTTCGCAAAAACTTAAAGAGCATGAGACTTGAAACTTTGTGAGACGATCACCTTATGTAGTACTCAATTCGGTTCAAGGCATCTTGATCGTAAATCAAATATGGCTGCCAATGGCCTTATTAAAAAATTCAAAGCATTCTGAATCATTGGTCATTAACATCTCCTCTTGATTGCACATTCTGATCAACATGATCCAATTTAATCATTAATGTACAGAGTCAGTATTCAGCAATTACCAATCAGTATCAGTGTAATAAACTTCCATTGAAGTTTTCGGCCTGACATACAAAGATTTATTTATGCATCTACCGGTATGCTTGGCTCATGTTACCAGTGCAAGGTTGGGGCTCAAGTGGACCTGCGTGTGGGTGGCGACTACTTCTATGACCCTCAGCCAGGCGAGGAGCCTCCCACAAACCTGCTGCTGGTAGCGGGTGGGGTCGGGATCAACCCCCTCATGAGTATGCGGAGCCACGTTCATGATCTGCAGCAGATGGCGACGACACGCAGCATGTGCCCAAACAAGGTCATCCTCATGTTCAGTGCCAAAACCAAGGAGGAACTTTTGTTTAGGGTATGGTGACAGTTTTCATTTACTTTCAGGTCTGGTTTTAAAGTTAGTACCGGTATTAAATTTTTTAAAATTGAAATTATTCTCACATTTCAACTGAAAATAGAATGGGATTTAGTGTGCAATCTGTATTTCCTCTATTAGACACCAGGGCCCACTTGCACAAAGTGATCTTAGCGCAAAGATGATCTTAACTCCCATACTTTAACACAGGCTTAAAATAGTCTTAGCGCTAAGATCATTTTGTGCACGTGGCCCCAGGGCATTTATTAATTTTGTGCAAGCCGTTGACCTGGCTTCATTTTGAGGCCTGTTGTCTATTTTGTTTAAAGCTGGCACAGTGGCAACTCACTTCCTTGCCGAATCCAAAACTCTACAGTCATACAAAGTGTACATTTGCAGAAAACTTTCAGTTGGATCTGTGGATTGCACTTCAGACTGCAGTCAAATAAATGTACAGATTGTTTCATCCTGTGTTCCAGGTGTAATTTCTACATAAGCAATACAGAACCTGGTGTAAAATGGGAAATTATTCACGTTTTGTTTGATATGAAATGCCTTATCTTTGACGACTGAACATTTAGTCTACGATTCCTGTGTACACCACTTGATAGTGTTGATAGATTGACTTATATCTTGTTTCATTATGCCTCAAAGTGAGAGCAGAACTACTGACACCACACGAGCCCGTATACCGTCATTAAAAATCTAAGATGGTTGATACTGACCAAATGTGAGACTGTATGCCAGTAACAGCCATCTTGGATTTTCACACATCCACCTCATATATTTCACATACAAATTCTGGTACATTGGTCATTCAACACTGTTTGTGTTTTAATATAATTAATTGTGATGTGCAAGGACAGACCTTTTAAACAAAAATCATGTCCATGACTTTATTGATAAAGACTATAGTTAAACATTTCCATAAGGTTTGCCTGCTAAGGTTTGAAGAGTAGTCTCCCTTTGAACCTAAACTTAAGGGTTGTTGGTGTGAAGTTTTTATTTTGACATGATATGTGCAATAAAGACACTAAATAGTGAAAGCATTTCGGCATAATAAATTTGTGGTGGTGTCTTTAGTTGCTGTACCTGGTGTCATATTAAGTGAGCAGAATAATATTGGGCGAGGCGCTAATAAAACAAAATGAAACAAATGACAGTCGGACAGTGAACACAAGGCCAAGCCAGGAGAAGTGTCAGTATAGTGTGGGAGGAAAGCCCGAAGTGATGCAGGTCTCACTCCGCTGAAACCCACAAGCACGGGTATGGTGCTGACAAACCTAGAAACATAATCCGGGCGAACCAGGATTCGAACCCACATTCGTTGGTTTCTGGCGTGCCAATGGGAAGCAACTCTTCACAGTGAATCTAAGTGACTGGACCACCCGTGATTATTTAATGTGGAAGTTCCCCTGATAATGACTATTTAGACATCATGTTCGTGTATCACTTTAAGGAAAATACTATTGCTGTAATAGTATGTGTGAAGTAATACAAATTGACCATTCAGCATTGAGACAGCTATGTATGTTTAGTGAAATATATTTTGAGATCTTTTAATGATCCAGGTGTAAGGAACTTTTCTTGATAGTTCAGATTCCTGATACCCAGTACTGATATTTCATTTGTTTTTCAGAAAAGAATTGATGAATTATGCAATATGAAGTCAAACAACATGTCATCAATGTATTTCATCACAGAGGAGACAGCTGGGAAAGGAGACAACACTGTTTGTAAGTTCGCTTTGTCTGTTAACATGGTTGACATGGTTAACATAATATTAAAGACTTTTTATCCCTTGAGTAACTTGGCCATACCTTGAGTAACTGGGCCATCCCTTGAGTAACTGGGTCGTCCATTGAGTAACTGGGTCATCCATTGAGTAACTGGGTCATCCCTTGAGTAACTGGGTCGTCCCTTGAGTATCTGGGCCATCCATTGAGTAGCTGGGCCAAACCTTCAGTAACTGGGCCCTCCCTTAAATAACTGGGCCATCCCTTGAGTAACTGGGTCATCCCTTGAGTAACTGGGTCGTCCCTTGAGTATCTGGGCCATCCCTTGAGTAACTGGGCCATCCCTTGAGTAACTGGGTCACTCGAGTAACTGGGTCATCCCTTGAGTAACTGGGCCATCCCTTGAGTAACAGGGCCAAACCTTCAGTAACTGGGTCATCCCTTGAGTAACTGGGCCATCCCTTGAGTAACTGGGTCATCCCTTGAGTAACTGGGTCGTCCCTTGAGTATCTGGGCCATCCCTTGACTAACTTGGCCATCCCTTGAGTACCTGGACCATCCCTTGATTAACTTGGCCATCCCTTGAGTACCTGGACCATCCCTTGAGTAACTTGGCCATCCCTTTAACTGGGCAATCCCTTGAGTAACTGGGCAAACCCTTGAGTAGCTGGGTCATCCCATGATTTTACTGGGCCCAACCCTGAGTATCTGGACCATCCCTTGAATAACTGGGCCATCCCTTGAGTTACTTGGTCACCCCTTGAGTAACTGGGTCATCCCTTGAGTAACTGGGCCATCCCTTTAACTGGGCCATCCCTTGAGTAGCTGGGTCATCCCATGATTTTACTGGGCCCACCCTTGAATAACTGGACCATCCCTTGAGTAGCTGGGCCATCCCTTGAGTTACTTGGTCATCCCTTGAGTCTGGCCATGTCTGGCACTCAGCATAAAGGGTGTAAAACAAGGACTGGTCGGCTCGGAGTCGGTATACTGTGTCTTAGTGGGGTATTCATGTTAAATTGCAGCATGGTATCTCAGTGAGCTATCACTATAAATCAGCATCAGTCCCGAGTAGTACGCACGCACGCACGCACGCACACACACACCAACATCGCTATATAAGTGCAATATACTGAGATGTGACTTTAAACCCAATTTCAGCAAATCTAGTAAATATTGAGACACCATCAGTTCACCAATCGTCAGTGATTGCTGTTGAATGTAATTAAATAAGGTAACAAGTTACGGCATTTCATTATTTTACGTAACTGTCGGCTCGTGAAGAATGCTGATGCAGCAGATACATGTGCGTGTATGTTCTCCTTACTGAAGGAGGTCGGTGTCCAAGCTAAATCTGTCTATACATGTGGTTGTAGGTTTAAGTTTATTCTGGATTTGAAAGAAAAACTAGCAAAACCATCAACCTACAAGGATGATTGAATTTTATTACAAACTGAGCCAATATTTACAATCATAATATTTGTACAAACTTCTCTAGAGCAAAATTAGGACATTTCTACACTGCAAGCTGAGTGGCAATACATGGATGGTCAGTGTTAGCTCTTCGTGTCAGAAAAAGATGGGAAGTTTGTAAAATCATCATTTCACAGATATTCCTGTCTTTTCAAGACGAAAAGCTCCGCCTCGCTCTCATATTATATATTCAGATTAAATAATGGAAAAATAATTTTCTCTCAGAGAAAATTTGAGAAAACTGACTTAACTGTTAATATGGTGCCTCAGCACTGTAGCTCACCTGCATATGTAGGCAACAGGTTCAAATGTTGACAACCACTTCACAATTGTTAAGCAATACTGTTGAAATATATTCAGCATAAATACAAAATAAGCACAAATGTATTGACTAAATGTTTACAGTGTTCCCAAGTCTGCAAGAATGAATGTTCTATAGTAGAACATAGTTGCAATACACAATCAATAAATTTCCTTCAGAACACATAACACACAGCTTAATCAGTGAGGATGTTTAACTGTTTGAAGATACTTGGCTAGTGTAGGATGTCCTCCCATCTGAGCTACACATTCAATGTCCTCATTACTGTCTGTTAGAAGTGTGAGGTCAGCTTTGTGCTGCACAAGGAGGTCAACAACATCTTGATGTCCATGGAATACAGCTTTCATCACAGGTGTGTATCCTTCACTCCCTCTGCTGTTGATGTTAGATGGAGACAGGACATGTTGTACTATAGCAGTGTTCCCACCCTGACAGGCAAGATGAAGTAAACTATCACCATCTGTATCCACCAGTGTGAGGTCAGCTTGGTTGGACACTAGGAGGTCAAACACACTTTGATGTCCAGTGACAGCTGCCTGCATCACTGCTGTCCATCCATGTGTGCCTCTACTGTTGATGTTAGATGGAGACAGGACATGTTGTACTATAGCAGTGTTCCCACCACGACAGGCAAGATGAAGTAAACTGTCACCATATGTATCCATCAGTGTGAGGTCAGCTTGGTTGGACACTAGGAGGTCAAACACACTTTGATGTCCATAGTCAGCTGCATTCATTGCTGCTGTCCATCCATACTCCCCTCTACTGTTGATGTTAGAAGTTGTCAGGACATGTTTTACAATAGCAGTGTTCCCACCCTTACTGGCAAAATGAAGTAAACTATCACCATCTGTATCCACCAGTGTGAGGTCAGCTTGGTTGGACATAAGGAGGTCAAACACACTTTGATGTCCATTGACAGCTGCCTTCATTGCTGCTGTCCATCCATATCTGCCTGTACTGTTGATGTTAGATGGAGACAGGACATGTTTTACTATAGCAGTGTTCCCACCACCACCACAGGCAAGATGAAGTAAACTGTCACCATATGTATCCATCAGTGTGAGGTCAGCTTGGTTGGACACTAGGAGGTCAAACACACTTTGATGTCCACTGACAGCTGCCATCATTACTGGTGTATGTCCATGCATCCCTCTGCTGTTGATGTTAGATGGAGACAGGACATGTTGTACTATAGCAGTGTTCCCACCCTGACAGGCAAGATGAAGTAAACTATTACCATCTGTATCCACCAGTGTGAGGTCAGCTTGGTTGGACACTAGGAGGTCAAACACACTTTGATGTCCAGTGACAGCTGCCTGCATCACTGCTGTCCATCCATGTGTGCCTCTACTGTTGATGTTAGATGGAGACAGGACATGTTGTACTATAGCAGTGTTCCCACCACGACAGGCAAGATGAAGTAAACTGTCACCATATGTATCCATCAGTGTGAGGTCAGCTTGGTTGGACACTAGGAGGTCAAACACACTTTGATGTCCATAGTCAGCTGCATTCATTGCTGCTGTCCATCCATACTCCCCTCTACTGTTGATGTTAGAAGTTGTCAGGACATGTTTTACAATAGCAGTGTTCCCACCCTTACTGGCAAAATGAAGTAAACTATCACCATCTGTATCCACCAGTGTGAGGTCAGCTTGGTTGGACATAAGGAGGTCAAACACACTTTGATGTCCATTGACAGCTGCCTTCATTGCTGCTGTCCATCCATATCTGCCTGTACTGTTGATGTTAGATGGAGACAGGACATGTTTTACTATAGCAGTGTTCCCACCACCACCACAGGCAAGATGAAGTAAACTGTCACCATATGTATCCATCAGTGTGAGGTCAGCTTGGTTGGACACTAGGAGGTCAAACACACTTTGATGTCCACTGACAGCTGCCATCATTACTGGTGTATGTCCATGCATCCCTCTGCTGTTGATGTTAGATGGAGACAGGACATGTTGTACTATAGCAGTGTTCCCACCCTGACAGGCAAGATGAAGTAAACTATTACCATCTGTATCCACCAGTGTGAGGTCAGCTTGGTTGGACACTAGGAGGTCAAACACACTTTGATGTCCATAGTCAGCTGCATTCATTGCTGCTGTCCATCCATACTCCCCTCTACTGTTGATGTTAGAAGTTGTCAGGACATGTTTTACAATAGCAGTGTTCCCACCCTGACTGGCAAGATGAAGTAATCTATCACCATCTGTATCCACCAGTGTGAGGTCAGCTTGGTTGGACACAAGGAGGTCAAACACACTTTGATGTCCAGTGACAGCTGCCTGCATCACTGCTGTCCATCCATGTGTGCCTCTACTGTTGATGTTAGATGGAGACAGGACATGTTGTACTATAGCAGTGTTCCCACCACGACAGGCAAGATGAAGTAAACTGTCACCATCTGTATCCACCAGTGTGAGGTCAGCTTGGTTGGACACAAGGAGGTCAAACACACTTTGATGTCCATTGACAGCTGCCTGCATTGCTGCTGTCCATCCATGTCTGCCTCTACTATTTATATTAGATGGAGACATGACATGTTGTACTATAGCAGTTTTCCCACCACCACAGGCAAGATGAATAATTCCGCTGCCATGTTTATCTTTCACATTCAAATTTGATGTTGTCTGCAGTAACTTAAAACATCCCTCTGATCCTGTGTGTGCTGCAACCATGACAGGGGTCCTGCCATTCACATCAACAGAGTTTATAACATTATTCCCAGGTTTCCTGGTTAACAGGACTTTCAGGGTTTTTTCCATTCCTGATTTACAGACAAGATGGAAGATGGTTTGCATGTTTTTGTCACTTGTGTTAATATCAGCGCCTTCCTGCAGCAGATACACTAGTATGTCAGAGCTGCCACTTTCAGCAGCTACCAACAAAAGTCTGTTCAGTGTCAACTGATGGTCATGTTTCTCACTCCTGCTGAACAGCCATTTCAATGCTGTCACATTGTTGCTTTGTGCACATCCTTCCATGGCCTCACTGATTTCTCCTTGAGTGAACTCTTCTCCAGTTGTGTGTTCTATACCTGTAATTAGACGTGCATTATGTCCAAGAACTGCCCAGTACAGAAAACATTGTCCTTTCTCTTTCTTGTGAAACCAAAGATGTTTTGTCCGATCACACTGAAGTTTGTTGAGCAGCTTGAAAACTGTGGCGTCTTGTTTGAGAATTGGATGTGTCACTGATTTTGAAAACTGTCCTTGTTTAATAGACTGTGTAAACCTTGTGGTAAGTAGGTCATCATAATTCTCTGAGACATATATCAAATGGAGATGATCATCAACTTTGGTTTCTTCAACCTTGTCACCTTGTACCCTTTCAAACAGAAAGTCATCACTGCAGTGCTTCAAGACAAAGATTGGACTGATATTATACAAGGCACAGACACAAGCATCATAGATTGAAGAATGAGCAAAGCCAACAGTGTCTCCTCTTGTGAAGAATGTACCTCTCAAACCTTTAGCTGATTTGTACATGCCCGAACGTGTAGCTTTAGACATCATCTGCAAAACAGTTTTGACCAGGCTGTCCATTTCCTTATCCTCACCTACACTGTCTAACTTGGTCAGGTCCAAGTTGTCTTCACACAGTAGCATCAGAACAAGAATGGCTGATCGGTCATTTCTCTCTTCAAGCAAATGCTTTAGCTCTAACCTGAGATAAAACAGTGGTTCCTTGAAAAATGATTTTGCACTTTTGTAGAAAGATGAAAATTCAAAACAAAGTTTACAAATAAGAGGGAATCCAAAGATATTTGAACAGATTTCCAGTTCACTGTAATCAGGTATATGTTGCATGGAGCAGTCATCGAGAGCTTTCCTATGTTGTTCAAATATTGTCTTTTTCTCTTTGTCAGAAAGCCAGTATTTATCTTGTGTGGTTAAATCCATTACAGTTTGACCTTTGAACAGTTTGAAACCCTCGTACTGCAGTTTTGCAAGTCCATCATGGAAGTTGTATGACTTTGATGTGAAGACAACACGAATATCCTTTGTTTGAAATTCTGGTTGACTCTGCACTTTCTTTCTGGATTTACCAACAGCATCACTGCTTTCATGCATTCCTGACTGCAGCTTCTCTGCACTCCGCTTTTGTTCTAAATGAAGGAGAAGGTTGTTTAGAAAGGATTTCACCTGTGATGTATTCGCAGATAATCCAACAGTACCAAACATGTCATCTACAATGAGAAATACTCTGGGGTGGCTACTAAGACAGTGGTCTAAGTCAAACTTCTCAATGTTGTCCACAAACACGACCTCGTAGCCTTTGTCTCTGTACTGTGAACCTAACACCAGAGCCATCGTTGTCTTGCCTTCTCCCGAAGCCCCGCAGATGGTCACATGTCCAAATTCCTTCAATTTTCGTTTCACGTCTTTGTAGGGTTCAGTTGGAAGAAAAATCTTCTTCGCTTCGTCTGTGCGCAAATCAAGGGTACCTGTGGAGGAATGGAAATTATAAACCATCCCAGCAAATACTTGGATGTTAAAATTAAACTGCAAAATATTTGCTAACTACAAACATCTTCTTGTGTTAATCATTAGGGGGGGGGGGGGGGGGGGGGGGGGGACAATTCATCTGGATTATACACCACACAGATGTGTTCCTGACTTAGTGTACACAAATATATTCATATTTTATAGCCCTCTTCATTCAGTCTTGTTGATAATGGCAATGTTTGCCATTTTGCCAGTTTCAACCCTCTTCAACAAATTCAACCAAATTTAAATCTTAACTTTTACTCTGATACAATACCTCTCTGTGTTAAGCTCTTACGCCACCTCCATAGGAGGTCACATCATCAGAAAATAAGCACTGATCTGCTCTGAGAACTGTTTAACAGAGTCTGGCACAACATCATTGTCAATACTTCAGGAGTTAGCATACACGACTCCATCACCCATCAGTACATGAGGGTGGCATTTGGGATTTGAACACAGGCACCATCTGCTCTCTGAGAATTGCTAAGTGTCTTGCACAACATCATTGTCAATACTTCAGGAGTTAGTACACACGACTCCATCACCCATCAGTACATGAGGGTGGCATTTGGGACAAGGGGAATAAAATTCTGATTGATGATCGGCACCACCTTCTCGCTGAGAATGTTAAGAGTCTTGCACAAGATCTAGTAGTTTACTGACCCTTCAGCCATGAACACTCACCTCTCCCAAGTGTTCCTTGTCCGGCCTGTCCAGTGATGATCTTCAAAGTGTTGGCAACCTGGGAGCCCCCTGAAGGACGGTCACCTGTCAACACCAATAATGAGGAATCATTGGTAACCATGGTAACCAACATTTGAATTGATCAGATAATTTCTTTACACGTTGAATAACATCATTTAATATTATTGCAGTGCTCAAGAGTGGAGTGTACATCATTTTGAAGTTTAATTCAATGGGTCTTTCGCTTTCTTTAGATTATATATATATATAATTATATAATCTTATCCCAGCAATAACAATTGCTGATGACCAAAACATATAAATCATGAATCAAGTTAATAAGCTACACATGAAGTTCAGCAGATAAGTAATTCTTGAATTATCTTCAACAGGTAATAGCCAAGTTCATTATTACCACATTGAAGCACCTTGACAATCATTAGACAACACCATGTTATGTGCCTCTACAACCTCATACCAGACTGAAGCACATTGACAATCATTACACACCACTACACAATGTGCCTCTACAACCTCATACCAGATTGAAGCACCTTGACATTCATTACACACCCCCACATCATGTGTTTCTACAACCTCATACCAGACTGAAGCACATTGACATCCATTACACACCATCACACAATGTGCCTCAACAACCTCATACCAGATTGAAGCACCTTGACATTCATTATACACCCCCACATCATGTGTTTCTACAACCTCATACCAGACTGAAGCACATTGACATTCATTACACACCACCACACAATGTGACTCTACAATCTCATACAAGACTGAAGCACATTGACATCCATTACACATCACCACACAATGTGCCTCAACAACCTCATACCAGACTGAAGCACCTTGACAATCATTACACACCACCACACAATGTGCCTCAACAACCTCATACCAGACTGAAGCATCTTGACATTCATTACACACCACCACGTAATGTGCCTCAACAACCTCATACCAGACTGAAGCACCTTGACATCCATTACACACCACCACACAATGTGCCTCCACAACCTCATACCAGACAGAAGCACCTTGACATTCATTACACACCACTTCACAATGTGCCTCCACAACCTCATACCAGACTGAAGCACCTTGACAATCATTACACACCACCACACAATGTGCCTCTACAACCTCATACCAGATTGAAGCACCTTGGCATTCATTACACACCACCACATAATGTGCCTCCACAACCTCATACCAGACTGAAGCACATTGACAATCATTACACACCACCACACAATGTGCCTCTACAACCTCATACCAGATTGAAGCACCTTGGCATTCATTACACACCACCACGCAATGTGCCTCCACAACCTCATACCAGACTGAAGCACCTTGACAATCATTACACACCACAACACAATCTACCTCAACAACCTCATACCAGATTGAAGCACCTTGACCACCATCACACACCACCACGTAATGTGCCTCAACAACCTCATGTCAGACTGAAGCACATTGACAATCATTACACACCACCACACAATGTGCCTCTACAACCTCATACCAGACTGAAGCACCTTGACATTCATTACACACCACCACACAATGTGCCTCCACAACCTCATACCAGACTGAAGCACCTTGACAATCATTACACACCACCACACAATGTGCCTCTACAACCTCATACCAGATTGAAGCACCTTGACATTCATTACACACCACCACATAATGTGCCTCTACAACCTCATACAAGACTGAAGCACCTTGACAATCATTACACACCACCATGTAATGTGCCTCTACAACCTCATACCAGACTGAAGCACCTTGACAATCATTACACACCACCACACAATGTGCCTCCACAACCTCATACCAGACTGAAGCACCTTGACAATCATTACACACCACCACACAATGTGCCTCTACAACCTCATACCAGATTGAAGCACCTTGACATTCATTACACACCACCACATAATGTGCCTCTACAACCTCATACAAGACTGAAGCACCTTGACAATCATTACACGCCACCATGTAATGTGCCTCTACAACCTCATACAAGACTGAAGCACCTTGACAATCATTACACACCACCAAGTAATGTGTTTCTACAACCTCATACCAGATTGAAGAATCTTGACATCCATTACACACCTACACACAATGTACCTATACAACCTCATGTCAGACTGAAGCACATTGACAATCATTACACACCACCACACAATGTGCCTCTACAACCTCATACCAGACTGAAGCACCTTGACATTCATTACACACCACCACACAATGTGCCTCCACAACCTCATACCAGACTGAAGCACCTTGACATTCAGTACACACCACCACACAATGTGCCTCTACAACCTCATACCAGATTGAAGAACCTTGACATTCATTACACACCACCACACAATGTGCCTCAACAACCTCATACCAGACTGAAGCATCTTGACATTCATTACACACCACCACACAATGTGCCTCCACAACCTCATACCAGACTGAAGCATCTTGACATTCATTACACACCACCACACAATGTGCCTCCACAACCTCATACCAGACTGAAGCACCTTGACAATCATTACACACCACCACACAATGTGCCTCCACAACCTCATACCAGACTGAAGCACCTTGACAATCATTACACACCACCACACAATGTGCCTCTACAACCTCATACCAGATTGAAGCACCTTGACATTCATTACACACCACCACACAATGTGCCTCTACAACCTCATACCAGATTGAAGCACCTTGACATTCATTACACACCACCACACAATGTGCCTCCACAACCTCATACCAGACTTAAGTACCTTGACAATCATTACACACCACCATGTAATGTGCCTCTACAACCTCATACCAGATTGAAGAACCTTGACAATCATTACACACCACCACACAATGTGCCTCTACAACCTCATACCAGACTGAAGCACCTTGACAATCATTACACACCACCAAGTAATGTGTTTCTACAACCTCATACCAGATTGGAGAATCTTGACATCCATTACACACCTACACACAATGTACCTATACAACCTCATACCAGACTGAAGCACATTGACAATCATTACACACCACCATGTAATGTGCCTCTACAACCTCATACCAAACTGAAGCACCTTGACAATCATTACACACCACCACACAATGTGCCTCCACAACCTCATACCAGACTGAAGCACCTTGACAATCATTACACACCACCACACAATGTGCCTCTACAACCTTAACCAGACTGAAGCACCTTGACAATCATTACACACCACCACACAATTTGCCTCTACAGCCTCATACCAGATTAAAGCACCTTAACAATCATTGCACACCTCTAAACATATCCAGACTTATACCAAGACGTTCCCTTTGATGTAATGTGCCTCTACAACCTCATACCAGATTGAAGCACCTTGACAATCATTACACACCTCCAAGCATATCCGGACATCATTACATACGGTGTGTGTGCGCGTACATGTGTGTTACATGAGGCTACTTTATTTTTCCTGTATTTTCGAGGAGATGGAGCTAATTCAGTTGCTGGGTAAATTATTTTTAAAATGGCAAACAGGGTGACGTTATGGAGGGCAACAGTGACACCTACCTGAACCTATTCTGGTGACAAGGTCAAGCTGAAGGTCCTCCTCGGTCTCAGCTGCACCTGCCGTTACCAGGTGACCTCCAGGTTCCTCGTCTGAACTGGCCATCGCAGTTCAGCTCTTCACATCACCATGCACTATCTGTGAAAATGGAGTGAAATCTAATCAAGCTGTGACACTAAGTGAAGCCAGTCAGACAGCACTGCCATGGCTCTGCAGCTCTCCAGCTGTTTATTACAACACACTTTTTATAAAGTCCTCTGTATTGAGCAGAGATTTCTTTTGATTAGGAAAAGGGTTTTGTTGTTTATATTTACAAAAACATTAGTATTTATCATTCTCAAAATGCATCTTCCTATCTCATTTATGAAAAAAGAGGAAAAATCTAATTTTCAAAAATATTTGATTGCATTTTAAGCACTTTCGTGCAGTTTGGACAACATTCACACCAAGAAATGTCATAAGTCAATGGCAAAAGTCAATAAGTCAAATAAACAAGATGGCAGATGCCATCAAATTTCAGAGTTAAATCAGTACTTCGGGCATAGCTTCCGCACACCTGGCTACCCGCCAGGTCTGGGAGCAATACTGCCTTAAACTTCAACCCCCATCCCCAAGACACAAGGACAACTGTCACAAGCATGCAATGCATCTTCCTATCTCATTTATGAACACTGTCCATGATATAACAAGAGTACCACACGTTCAGAACCATCTTCTTTGATTGGACATTTTAGGAGGTGCCAAAGAATTTGTGATAACTTCTTTGAAATGACCTCCTAATTTGTTTAATATGCTGACAAAAGAATAATGACTGCTATGTCATATTCCAAAGTCCCATTTCTCTGGTGTCTACAGACACCCAGAAATATTCACAGTAACTGTCCAAAAAATTAAAGACTATCTGTAAAAAATTACATCACACGTCAAACCAAGAATCTTTTTTTTAAATATAACGTATCCTAATATAATTCGTTGACTTACATTAGTTTTTTTCTTTTTTATGGTATTATTATTGCATGTCTACCAAAGATAAATTCCAGATGAAGCCTTCTCATATAGTAATTATTGTGTATGCAAGGGTTCAGCTTTCTGCCTTGGGATTGCCGAGTGTCAAAATTCATTCATGGTTGTGAAACATACTTGCCAAAGTTCAGCTTCCTCAGTTTTGGAAGTGATGAGTTTAACTGGGCCAAAAATACATTTGAAAGGACATGGTCATAACGTAAGACCATCTCCTTGGTCTAGAGGTAGAGCGTCAGTGGTTCGGTCCCTGGCTGTATCCTACCAAAAGACATTAAAAGAAGGTACTTGTCACTCGCCCGACACAGTAAGGGGCTAAAACAAGGACTGGACAGCTTAGGTCAGTATATTGTTTCTGAGTGGTGTATTCATGTTAAACTGCGGATTGGTATCTCAGAGGGTTAGCACTATAAAATCAGCATTAGTCCGGAGAAGTACAACCACACGCACATGCACATACATGCACACGCTCACAATTTGGGATGTGACGCTAAACACCATTTCACCTCACATCAAAACATGAAGGTTAATCAAGGTCAAAATGTACAATATCAGAAAAACAGAACTTTTGAGTGTCTTGGCAGCCACATCAAAAATTGGATTTCAACGTCTTGAACATATAGGGATGTCATCAAGCTTCAGCTCAATCAGTGTCACACCAGAGAAGATATTCAGGAAGCACAACAGACAAGGACAAACAGACTTACCTCAAAATGGCGGCCGTGCTCAAAGTACGATGAACATTTTTGTGAGCACTTAATAGGACTGAGACACAATAGCTTGTATGATTCATGCAAAGTTTCAGATTCGTAGGTTTGGCAGTGTAACGACAGATGGACCAACGGCGGCACAACGCTCACAAAATGAACTCAACATCCCGAGACACTGTCTGAAATCTGCTTGAACATTTCTGTATGCACATGCTTCACTCCGGACGTTTTGACTGCATGCCTACGTGTCTGTTACACAGACTCCGAATACAGTGTACATATTACCAGCTGATAATATAATTCTATATTAAATATACTCACGGAACACTACGTCGCGGAATACGTTGCAAGTCTTCAGCATGTTGAGAAGTGGGAGACTGGTACTTGAAACAGCATCCTGATTGGTCTACCTGTACTTCCGTTGCAGTGCGCGGTAGAGCGAATCCTACTTTCGCTTTCACTTTCATCATCTTGCTCGATATACAGCAACAAGAAGTTCCCGTCCCGTCCTAAATATGATCCCATCATATCAATTGTCCTTCTCTTACTGCCATTTAAAGTTATTTCGTGAGTGGATGTTTCTACACTGGTTTTTTGCTCGCTGTTCTTAAAGAAAACTGAAAAACGGGAATACCCAAACTATTAATAGCTTCGTCCCGCAGTGTATAGTAATAGTTAATTCCATTGGTTGTTATTACAGATACAACCTGGTTCCCTTGGTATGCTACGCTGGCACTACACTATGCCAATATAGTGTGATATAAGAAACGGGGCCAAGCTTACACTATGTAGCGCCAGCGCGGCATACCCAGGGAACCAGGCTGTTTCTACTTACTGAATGAAGAGATGGAACCCAGCTTCTGGCCAACACTCCACATTGACTGATTCCCGTTCGTTCCTGCACGGACCAAAATTATATAGGCCCTTAGTTACCGAGAAGACAAATATCGAGAAGCCAAACTAACACAATCAGTAAACGAATATTGCCAAAACGCTTCGCCCCATTTTCCACAAACCTGTTTCCGTGTTTTAATCTGTCCCGCATAATCGGCTCATGAAACAGGACTCGTTTGCGAAATTCATGCTTACTCATTGTCCAAACGACCTTTGAGGCGGATTCGATATTCGATTTAGTGATACTAGTATCTAAAGTCATAAAGTGATATTAATATGTAGGGAGGAAATAGTAAAATGGCGCCCATAGCTAACAATCATTGTTGCCTAGGGAGTTTGTGCAAACAAGGTTTGTGCGTGATTTGTTGTCTCGCGGAAATAAATATTTTGCCAATAAGTGTTGAATTCTAAAACTTGTTGCAGCGTATCCATATATTTGTACTTTGTTATAACGTGTGGTACATACACAATTATATGCACCGTCGTAGGTACACGTAGATAAAGTTAGTTCTACACAAAGTAACATGGAAAATGTCGTTCGTTTACATTCACTTTCTATACCATAAGCACGGCCTTCAGAGAAACGTTCTATTTGTCGATACATAATATTGATCTATACCAGTCCACTTTGGGTAGGGATATTTGTATATTTCCATTATACACAAAACTCATTCTCATAATAATCATTGTTGCCTGAGGATTTTGTGTGAACAAAACACATTTTGTGCGTGAATTTGTGTCGGGCGGAAATTATCTAGATTTTTTTGATTTTTTTTTATTGTACATGAGATATAGACAATCATATGATTCGATTCCAAACATGGGCAGAAAGTGTGAAGCCCATTTCTGGTGTCCCCCATCGTGATATTGCTAGAATATTGCTAAAAGCAACGTAAAATCATACTCACTCACTGATTCCCTATTGGTCCTGTTTTTCAGTGAAGTACAAGTCACATCTTCAAAGCCTTAAACATTTGTTAAAACCACTTTAACAGCAAGTGGGAAACCTTACTGACAGTTGCTGCAAATTTGAGCTGAGCAGGTCTACAGCTACATCAATGGTGACACCATGCTAAAAGCCCAATATTCCAGATGCCAAAACAACTATAATAGTTAATGTTGTGATTCATTCTAAAACTTAATAAATACATTTTGAACAAAGCCAGTAAGTGTACATCGGGTGCTGTGGTTATTGGGGATGTTGGGGGTCAAAAACAAATCTCACGTCTTCAAAAGTTTAATAAGGGATGTCAGAGAAAATTATGTATGTTTTATCTTTATTCTCACAGACAGTCGAATCAAAGAGCAGCACATACAAGAAGTGACGGACAGGTTGAAACCAGGGAAGGTGGAGTGCTACCTGTGTGGTCCATCCCCCATGATAGCAAGTATAGAAACAATGCTAAAGGCTTGTGGCATCACTGAACCCAGCATTCACTACGAGAGATGGTGGTAGATGCTCTGGGATTGTATATTGGAGGAGTATCATGGCATTATGGAATTCCTATGGTATGTTTTATTGAGATTTAAGCACATATCAGTTGTGCCCTTGACAAATGTAGTGATAATTCCAATTAAGTGTTGCTGTATTTGTCAAAGGAATTCCCATGAAGCTCTCAAAAACCTGAATAACATCTGTGATTAATGAGCAGTCTCAATTTTTATTGATTTACAATTTCAGGTTTTCAGGTAACTGTAGTACTTTTCCCTTGATAATTCAGGGTGGAACTGGTCCCTGTATTGCATGCTTGTGGTTAGAGTAACTACGAAATCATTGCTTTTACTGCTCTGCTATTACTATCGGACATCTAGTGGTCGCTGACACATAGCTACGATTCACGCCTTCATAAGCTTCTTCTTCAGTAGATGTTGAATTTGCCCCGTCCTTCACAAGCTCCGTCACTCTACCTTACAGAATATCATTTAACCTTATACCCCCTTGTTCCCAAACCACTTACCTTCAAGTACACCCAGTATTTCAACTAAAAAGAATTTTGTCAAAAGGACTGCACCTGTCAAAACAAAGGGGTCGAGTTTACTGTTGGGCCAATGTGTCTAAAATTCTTAACCTCGACAGAGACAGCAAACTCACAAAACTCAACTCCCATTTATGCTGTTTGCAAAGGCGATTGGTCAAATACTAAAACATAGTTATGCATTCTGTAAACTACGGTTATAACGAACTCAAGGGACCACTAATTTTAGTTCATAATAACCGTAGTTCGTTATAAGCATACATAAAGCATATATGCAACAAATGGATACCAGTTCGTTATAAGGGTGTTAGTTATAAAGGTAGTTTTCTATACTTACATTTGCATGAAAATCCTTTCCTACTGCAACAGGAATAATAGTAGATTATATGTGGATACAGAACACCCCCCACCACCTCCCATGAGGTGTCTATGACGTCATTGACCTATGACCTCCATATGACCTGGCCTTGACCTCTCACCTTGACCTCTGATCTCATTTGATATCTGTGAGGTCACACTATTGTCCTAGGTCAACAGTGAGTTGAATAGGTATTGTCCTTAGGTCAACAGGGAGTTGAATGGGTATTGTAGTCAATCGCACCTCTGTCAATAAGGTATTGAGACCGAATTGAGTGTGTGTGTGTGTGGGGGGGGGGGGGGGGGCTATGTGTGGTAGGATTTAAAAACCCATGAACAGGTTAATGTAGAAAGATCTCCCAGATATTCAATTACGTTAATAAAGGGTCAACTGATCGGATGCAATCATACAATTAATTACTTGACCAATCGTTAAACGTAGAACAACACGTGTCTAAAAACAAGATGGCGGACGTTGCCATGCACGCTCACGGGCGTCATGTGACCTCTGTCAGACTTAATTTTTTCTGATACGGACTATACTCGACTCCGTCCGACAAGTTAAACGCTTGACTGCACCCTATACCATGGCCAGCCACCCACCTGTAGATGATATAGTCTGTTCTACATAGCGTATACATTTGTAAACACATCCAACTAAGCCTTATCTTTCTTTCTTTTTCCCGGGGAATTAGACACAGCATAACTTTGAAGTACAATGGGAAACGGCGTAGTGTACCAACTTATTATTTTAATAAATTGAACCTTGATACTTTTGTATTGTGTTTCTTTTCTCCAGAGCTGAAGGTTGAGTCACGTGATTTATGAATGAGATGCCATTCTCCATATAAGGGAAATCATACTTTTGAGGCAAAGCAGGCGTAAAAGGTCATATCATACAAAAATATCCCAAACGGTAGATATCCCTTGTGTGAGATCAAGCGATACCTCCTTGGGTCATTTGATTGTAGCAATGTCTCCGGCATGACATCATATCGATTGTACCATCACTGTGACGTCACAATTGTGAAGCAGCAGCATTGTTCTGGTTTATGGCAGCCCAGAAAAATGTCAATAAAACATTTACAAAATAACACTCTAAGTTACCTGAGTAACTTCTTTTCCCGAGTATGAGTGAGTATGTATGAGTGAGTGAGTATGGTTTTACGCCGCTTTAGCAATATTCCAGCAATATCTTCGGCGTGACGAGCGAACGCTTTAACCACTAGGCTACCCGACCGCCCTTCCCGAGTACGAATAATCTCTTTCACAAAAACTCCCTTCAGTGAATCTACAAGTAATGATGGACTCAAATCTTTTATTATGTAAGGACAGACATGCTTTCAGTAGATGTGTTTTGATTCATATGAATACAGCGTTATGTTTTAAAACAATAATTGATGAATGAGTGTGACCAAAGTGAGGGCATCAGGTATTTGTGTATACCTCAAACCAAAATCTCAAAAAGCTTTCATAAAAAAGATCTACATCATCAAATGTTTAACGTCTGTCTTTTCGACCACATGCAGAACATGGCCACATTTTATCAAATTTGATTTAAACACATCACACTTTTCACAGACAAAGTGGTCAAATTGGCTTTGACACCTCAAGATGACAAGAGGTACTTGTTGGCAGATGGGATCGAATCTCGACCCTATGGGTTTAATTCTATTTAGAAATTTGTAACTTCTAAGAAAGTATGACAAGTGCCTAAGCAAACAATGGTTACATCATCACGAAATGAAAACCTCGAGTGGGGTTTGAACCTTGAAATGTGAAAGGTATTTATGTATTTTGTGTTTGGTTGTTTTTTAAATCATTAATTGTGAAAAAAAAAATTGTGAACTTCTTAAAAGATATTATTTCTTAAAAACGTAAGCTAAGTTCTTTTTTTTATGATAGAAACATTAACTTGTATGAAGCAAACTGAAAAAATAAGTTTTTGTTTGATAAAAAATAAATTCAACGAGAAAATAAAACTTGCATGAAAAAAATTAATAACAATGTAAATTTGTTTTGCGTGAGTGAAAAAACACATTCGTGCATCAAAAAATAAATAATGTGTAAATTAATATATGACAGAAATTTTTTTATTAACAAAGTATTTTTTTCTTTTGCATGATAGACAAATAAAACTTACATAAGAAGAAAACATAACATGCTTTGCTTTCTATTCACAGAATTAGTGGGGGGACAAATAAATTTGAATACAATTCAACCCATAGATATATGACATGGCAAAGGGAATGTTCCCTCGAAGAGACGTTTGAATCCCACACCAGACAAGTGGAATATTTGAATCTGAGTCTTGCCGTGAGAAAACTGACGAATAAATCCTCATCGTGGCTTCAGATTATTTAGTGAAAAAATATGTTGAAGTAAAATTTATATTTTGTGGGCAAAGTCATTAATAAGTCATAGACCAGACAAGGCCACAAGAAAGTATTGTATTCATTGACCATCCCACAAGGATGACAGATTGCAAGACAGTAACACTCTTGGTTCGTAGGTATCAACCGAAGCACGCAGGATTCACTGCATCAAATAACCCCATTGGTGATGCAGGCTTTCCTCCATCCATAAACCTTGCCGCCGCGATATAATTGAAAAAGTGTTGAAAACGGTGTTAAACCCCAACTCCCTCACTCTCTCATGCTTATGTCAAGAATATATATTTGTTGTGAAACAATAAACAGTATCAGTCACATTGAGTGAAGTGAGTGAATTATTATTATTCTAGCCTTGGAAAAAAATGTCAAGTCTGTACGGATCAGACAAATTACTCCCTCAAGTTGGTTATGGTCAAAAGAGATCACACAGTTTGGTCAATCAAAGCTCAATGTATATTCTGAAACAAAAGCCAAGTTTGGACTCCCTGGTGTAAAAAGATAATAAATACTTGGAGGATTACTAATAATTCTCATTCTAATTGAAATTTAAAAAATGGAAAAAGTAAAATAAAGAAATTGTAAAGTTTTTCAATTGAAAATATAAAACCCGGTCTCGTGAGAGTATGAATGAATGAATGAATCATTCATGAAGTTTATTTTGAAACACTTTTCACACTATTTCTTGATGACCAAAGTCCGCTTTTTATAGCGAACTTTGAAAACTAAAATTGTTCATTATGAAATAATGAACCTTGGCTTAATGTGCCAGCTAAAACTAACTTGTAACATAATATTCAATCTTACATACAGGCTTGACCCCAATTTTTTTCTATGGAGATGTACATATCTGCGAGCTTTGACTATTGTATTCAACAGGTCAAATCTGTTTGCATGGTCACACCTGTAGACAAGTGATCTTTCCAGTTTCACATGATCCCTGAAAAAACGTCCATAGGTAAAGGAAACGATAACACTAAACTATAAATGAGATGGTTCGATTTATTTACAGGGACTTGAAGGTACATACGGTTATAGGGAAACCATGTTTTCTATGGGATAAGAGAGACCTTAAACTAACTTACGGGAATAGAAGCTGCAGTTAATTATGATTTAAATCTGAGAATCAGGTATAAAAAAGATCCCTTTAAGACCTTTAAGGTAAATGAAGTGTGCATTGTCAAAACACAAAACACAAACATGATTATAACACGTGTAGTAAGCCCTGGTTTGTATCTGAGTGCAGACTGATGCGCAAGTCATATAATAAAGCAAGAAAACGTTACATTTTCTCCAGTTTTAACAAACAGAAACTCCTATCTACAACAGGCTAAGGCATACAAAAGATGTTTAAATAAATACAAGAGCAAATTTAAACACAGCGTAAGTAAACTTCTAAGAAGTAAAGCAAAACACTCACCTAAAGATTTTTGGAAAGTCTGAAATCCAAACCTCGCAGCCCTGAACTATTCAAAGTGAAATAAGGCACCTGGCATTGACCTCATAGAAAATGACTACTTAATTGACAGTATCGATTTCCTTGGATAGGTTTATGTAGATTTATTTAACATGATCTTTCCCACAGGAACTGTACCCGATGTTTGGCTTACAGGAATTATTATATCAATATATAAAAATAAAGGTGGCATATCAGATCCAGGCTATTCTTAGCTGTAGTTTAAACAGTAGATTAACAAAATTCCTTGATAGAAACAAACTTATATCTTCTTCACAAGCAGGGTTTTGTGAAGGGCTGTGAAAAATTGGCAACATCTTTATACATTATACTATTATTAGTATCCCCAAACACACGAAGAAGAAGCTCTTTTGTGCTTTCATAGATTTCACCGAAGCCATTGATAACATTTGGAGAGTTGGACTTTGGCATGAAGTGTTGCATCATGGTATTTGAGGAAAATTTCTGACACTCGTTAAACATATGTATGGAAATATAAAATCATGCATGTTACATAATAATGACATATCCGAATACTTTCTAAGTATGTCTGGTGTGCGTCAAGGAGAAAACCTTTCACCATTACTGTTTTCAATATACTTAAATGATTTAGAATCACATCCCATATCACATGACTGTGATGGTGTTAAAGTAGAATATGTCGGTGATAATGGAATATTATGTGCACAATTATTTCTTCTTCTATAAGCAGAAGATACTGTGTTATTCGGACAAAACCCACTTTCTTTACAATATACTCTACAACATGGAAACTGACTGTTAACATAGATAAAACAAAAATTGTAATTTTCGGTTCAGGTGTAGCAAGAAAAACGAAGTTATCATTTTATTTTGGAGATCAAGAACTCGAAATCGTTGGTATAAATGTCTAGGTATTCAATTGAACAAAAACATAAGATTTATCTATGCTATTAAAAGTTTAACTGCTACAAAAGCATTTTTCGGGTTTTTTTCGTTTGGAGAGAGGAGCAGTGACAGTAGTGACTGGTATCTGATGGGTGCAAACAGGTGTTGAGTGGCTGTCTCAGATGTCTCTAATTTCGTAGCTCTAAAAATCACGACGGCGATAGAGACCGTGATGTAGTTTGTCTCACATTCCCTGAACCATACAAGTAGAGATTGCTGCAGAGCATCAATAGCTCCCCGCAATATAATGTTATGTGCAGAGGAAGGAAGTGTAAGCTATGGGAGGAGAGAATTTGTGTTAAGTACAAATTGGTTGTTATTAATGTACTTATCTTTGGAAAGCACAATAAAAGAAACAGTGTCTTTAATTGGTCAGCATAAAGAAAACCCAGGCAAGAAAACTGGGCCTGCCAGGCAAAACTTGATATATACCCACTATGAGTACCAATAAAAAAAATCCTATATAGATAACACAACAAATGTCATTCTAAAGCATGCTTTTGCAGCAAATATCAATATTTCTGGTCAAAATGTTGGTGGGGTTAAATAAAGCAAACTTTTAAAATAGTAAACACAAAAAATGTAATGAATCCACTCTAAATATACTGCAGTTCAAATGGAAAAATTCACGCAATCTTCAATGGATCCCCATTAATCTAGCAGTAAGTTAGGAACATACAGTATCTATAAATATTGAGAATTATCTTACGTATTGTAAAAACAAAGGCCATAGGTCACTTTTCTCTTTTTTTACTATTCAAGACGGCGTTAAACCCAACTACCTCACTCACTCTTGTGTATGGTTCCGTTTGGTTAACTGGGTTTGTGTTGTGATTGCTTCCGGCTTAGATTGGAAATTTGTTCAGAAGAATGATACTATTTTCAACCCAAACATCGTGAAGATATCATGCAACCGTATTATCTTTTTGGAAAATAATTGCAAACAACACACCAACCTGTTGATTTCCTATGTATTCAGAAGCAAAGAACATATGCGGGTGTATGATCTCCGCTGGAAGTGTTTGTTTTTTTGTCAAAGCAATAAACCATGCAGAAACGTAAACCCCCGCATGAAACGGTATGTACCATTCATTACATAGAGTGAAGTTTTTAAAACAATGCTGTGCTCAACTATGCACAGCAAGTGCCATACATGTGATTATGAAGACAACTAATAAAAAAATTCTCATATCAAACCCGTTGTTTTACATGTGTTGTTTATTGAACTAGGTTATACTTTATAGAAGCCTGTTATTTAATCGTGTTGAACAATATGTTGCAATAGCAGTGTGAAAATTGAGTGCGCGTGACAGGCTTGGCCTAAATTCCTTCCTGGAACGTTTCTCGATGGCTGCCTGAATAACATACGATACATTGCAAAGGTAGTGCGCAATTGAGCTGTTCGGGTAAGGGAGATAATCACTCACTCTCAGTGATACAGCTTGAATAAGATACGATGTACAGCAATGCAAGGTCAGTGCGTGAATTTATCACTTCTATACTACGCCTATAGCTAAAGGAGATAATCGCTCAATGCGCAAAAGTTTATTCTTACTAAATATAGACCGGTTAACTTTAGCGAAATGGGATCATTTTTAGCTCTTTTAAAAACAAAATGAACAAATTTCATGGGTTATCAGCATTACGAAAACTGACTAAGTCTCAGAATAGCAAGACGATTTTGAAGTATCTCTTATTGCTGGAAAAGATAAACATCAACATTTCACGCACATTTCACATGATTTGTATGTTTCGTTTCGGTAACTGTGTGGCTTGAAATTTCAAAGAAACCATCATGTCAACTTACATGCTCTAAAATTAACCTCTCCCGTATACTTCCCCGCCTTAAGGGCGGGGAAGAATAAACTCTGGAAAACACTCCTGGCTTGGTTTTGTTAAAGACATTCTTTTTTCCTGTCGTCTCCCTAACTGCTAACAGACGCTATGTAATAACGATACTAGAAAACACACTCAAAGATATTTTTTTTCTTAACTTGATGCAATTTAGTCGCAGCAAGCTCAAAAGAACATTACTACAAGTACTTTAAACACATATCATATTTTGAAAAATACCTGGTCGCCACAGTCTCTAATTTCTACCCTATCTTAAAATTTAGAACCTCCAATTACAATCTCCCCATAGAGACTGGAAGATTGGATAACATTCCAAGGGAGAATAGATTATGTAAACTCTGTTACTCGCCAGCTATTGCTGACGAATTCCATTACTTGTTTCGCTGTGAAGGCATTTCACACTTAAGATCAACTTATATCAATAAAAAGTTTATCAACTGGCCAAATATTTATAGAATGAAAAAATTTATTATGAACATGTAACTGTAAAGACCCATTTCTTCTTAGTAAGTTTTTAACACTTTTAAATGCTCTGTTAATGAAATTGAACATTTAAAGAAATTATTATTTTACTCACTTATAAACCCCCTTTCACGTTTGAAACGTAAAATGTGCGTTTATAATGTTATTTTAGTTGAGTTAACGAGAATAAAGAACAAAATGTCTATGTAATTTATATTGTTTGGTATCTTAGTTCTTGGGGAGCAAATCCGATATGTAACTCAGTGATCAAAGCCGAATGAAACCACAGTCGCGTCTTTGATTGTCATGACTGGTAAGTGAACACTGTCATGTGCGAAATACTGAACATATACATTTTGAGATGGCACGAGGGATGTGGCTATTCACCCTGACTAGCTGTTTGATTGTTGCCTTTGCTGTTTGACTGTTGACTTAGCTGTTTGATTGTTGACTTAGCTGTTTGATTGTTGACTTAGCTGTTTGACTGTTGACTTAGCTGTTTGCCTTTTGACTTAGCTGTTTGATTGTTGCCTTAGCTGTTTGTTGGCTTAGCTGTTAGATTGTTGCTTAGTTGTTTGACTGTTGACTTAGCTGTTTGATTGTTGACTTAGCTGTTTGATTGTTGCCTTAGCTGTTTGACTGTTGACTTAGTTGTTTGACTGTTGACTTAGCTGTTTGATTGTTGACTTAGCTGTTTGATTGTTGACTTAGCTGTTTGATTGTTGCCCTAGCTGTTTGACTGTTGCCTTAGGTGTTTGACATTTGACTTAGCTGTTTGATTGTTGACTTAGCTGTTTGCCTTTTGACTTAGCTGTTTAATTGTTGCCTTAGCTGTTTGTTGGCTTAGCTGTTAGATTGTTGCTTAGTTGTTTGACTGTTGACTTAGCTGTTTGATTGTTGCTTAGTTGTTTGACTGTTGACTTAGCTGTTTGATTGTTGACTTAGTTGTTTGACTGTTGACTTAGCTGTTTGATTGTTGACTTAGCTGTTTGATTGTTGACTTAGCTGTTTGATTGTTGCCCTAGCTGTTTGACTGTTGCCTTAGGTGTTTGACATTTGACTTAGCTGTTTGATTGTTGACTTAGCTGTTTGCAAGTAGGGGGCTTCTCCATGTGGTCGTAACCGGGTCGCTAACACTGTTTTTACCAAGATATGGTGTTATGTTCAGGGTGGATAGCCACATCCCTGGTGTAGATACAGAAGGGGACTTCTTCATGTGGTCGTCAACGGGTCGCTAACACTGTTTATACCATGATATTGTGTTGTGTTCAGGGTGGATAGCCACATCCCTGGTGTAGACACAGTAGGGGACTTCTCCATGTGGTCGTCAACGGGTCGCTAACACTGTTTATACCATGATATGGTGTTGTGTTCTGGGTGGATAGCCACATCACGCAGTAGTATTCCAGCTATATGACAACAATCTCTAAATAAACCTGGACAAGAATTCTACTTATGTAAATCTAGAACTCTTTCAAGAATATTGCACTCAAATAGCGACCTGTGTGTGGTGGGGAGGGGGGCTTCTTGTACATTCAGGACTATTGCTGGTTCTATAGTGAGAGATACCATGCCACAGTTTAACATGGGTACCCCACTAAGACACAGTATATTGACTCCGAGCCGACCTGTTTTACCTCTGTATGGCCGACCGCCAGGCAAGGTAACAACAAGTACCATATTTTATCTTCCTCTGATATGACGCAGCCGGGGATCAAACCCCGACCTTCCGCTCTCAGGGTGGACGCTCTATCACTAGTCCACGGAGACGGTCATCGTTACTAAGTATCGTTATTACCTCGTGGGGACCCAAGTTAGAACAGGTCCACAACAACCTATGCTTGTCGTACCCTACCCAGACACAGTCTGATTACACCGAGCTGACCGGTCCCTGTTTTATCCCCTTAATGCAGAGTGCCTAGGGTAACAACAAGTACCATATTTTTACATCTTTTGGAAACACTTGTCCGGGGATCGAACCACCGACCTTCGGATATCTGAGCAGCCCGTAGTCAAAACAGTTTGAGTACACTTGCCCAAACTTGTGCATTGGCATCAGATCCTGTTGGTTTTTATGCTGGGCCAAGAACAAAAAAATCTGTTTCAGGTAACATGGCCCCAACAGATTTTTTATGTAAGGGTATTTAATAATGTTTGACATGTAGATTCATGTTTATTCTGTGTGTCCTATTTGTTGGTCCAGAGTCAGCAAAGATAATATACAGAACATTTAATCTGACATTTGGGTCGCAAGTGAAACAGTGGGTTGGTCAGGTTACCTGAAACAAGTATTTTCGTTTTTGGCCTAAATAGAACAACACGTTTACCATGCCAACTAGACAAAAAGGATTTTTTTCTATATTTGGAACTAGTGACATAATTTGTCGATATATGAATTAAAAAACTAATACATAGCAGTAGAAGTTAACCTGAAATCTTACTGGCCTGGACAGCAATTATTATCTCAGTGGGGCTAACTGGGTAGTACAAAAGTCAGTTGCTGATTAATTTTTTATCAAAGTTATCAGAAATTTTATCATTGATGAACAGACATTGGCGGCGGCCATAAACTTTTTATATTTTGACTTCTGTTCTGAAATGACTCAATGGATTCATCTGAAATTTGTGTGGATGTGTGTTACTTCAAGGGGATATGTGTCTTCAAAACTGGAATTTCAATATGGCCGCCAGATAGCCATTTTTGACTTGGAAACATAAGATTAAAAAGATCTTCTTCGCAAAAACTTAAAGGGCATGAGACTTGAAACTTTGTGAGACGATCACCTCATGTAGAACTCAGTTCGGTTCAAGGCATCTTGATCGTAAATCAAATATGGCTGCCAATGGCCTTATTAAAAAATGCAAAGCATTCTGAGTCATTGGTCATAAACATCTCCTCTTGATTGCACATTCTGATCAACATGATCTAATTTAATCATTTATGTACAGAGTCTGTATTCAGCAATTACCAATCAGTATCAGTGTAATAAACTTCCATTGAAGTTTTCGGTCTGACATACCAAGATTTATTTATGCATCTACCGGTATGCTTGGCTCATGTTTACCAGTGCAAGGTGGGGGCTCAAGTGGACCTGCGTGTGGGTGGCGACTACTTCTATGACCCTCAGCCAGGCGAGGAGCCTCCCACAAACCTGCTGCTGGTGGCGGGTGGGGTCGGGATCAACCCCCTCATGAGTATGCTGAGCCACGTTCATGATCTGCAGCAGATGGCGACGACACGCAGCATGTGCCCAAACAAGGTCATCCTCATGTTCAGTGCCAAAACCAAGGAGGAACTTTTGTTCAGGGTATGGTGACAGTTTTCATTTACATTCAGGTCTGGTTTTAAAGTTAGTACCGGTATTAAATTTTTTAAAATTGAAATTATTCTCACATTTCAAATGAAAATAGAATGGGATTTAGTGTGCAATCTGTATTTCCTCTATTAGACACCAGGGCCCACTTGCACAAAGCGATCTTAGCCCAAAGATGATCTTAACTCCCATACTTTAACACAGGCTTAAAATAGTCTTAGCGCTAAGATCATTTTGTGCATGTGGCCCCAGGGCATTTATTAATTTTGTGCAAGCCGTTGACCCGGCTTCTCTTTGAGGCCTGTTGTCTATTTTGTTTAAAGCTGGCACAGTGGCAACTCACTTCCTTGCCGAATCCAAAATTCTACAGTCATACAAAGTGTACATTTGCAGAAAACTTTCAGTTGGATCTGTGGATTGCACTTCAGACTGCAGTCAAATAAATGTACAGATTGTTTCATCCTGTGTTCCAGGTGTAATTTCTACATAAGCAATACAGAACCTGGTGTAAAATGGGAATTAATTCACGTTTTGTTTGATATGAAATGCCTTATCTTTGACGACTGAACATTTAGTCTATGATTCCTGTGTACACCACTTCATAGTGACGATAGATTGACTTATATCTTGTTTTATTATGCCTCAAAGTGAGATTGACCCATGAGAGCAGAACTACTGACACCACACGAGCCCGTATACCGTCATTAAAAATCTAAGATGGTTGTTACTCACCAAATGTGAGACTGTATGCCAGTAACAGCCATCTTGGATTTTCACACATCCACCTCATATATTTCACATACAAATTCTGGTACATTGGTTATTAAACACTGTTTGTGTTTTTATATAATTAATTGTAATGTGCAAGGACAGACATTTTAAACAAAAATCCCGTTCGTGACTTTATTGATAAAGACTATAGTTAAACATTTCCACAAGGTTTGCCTGCTGAGGTTTGAAGAGTAGTCTCCCTTTGATCCTAAACTTAAGGGTTGTTGGTGTGAAGTTTTTAGTTTGACATGATATGTGCAATAAAGACACCAAATAGTGAAAGCATTTCGGCATAATAAATTTGTGGTGGTGTCTTTAGTTTCTGTACCTGGTGTGATATTAAGTGAGCAGAATAATATTGGGCGAGGCGCTAATAAATCAAAATGAAACAAATGACAGTCGGAGTTGCACAGTGAACACAAGACCAAGCCAGGAGAAGTGTCAGTATAGTGTGGGAGGAAAGCCTGAAGTGATGCAGGTCTCACTCCGCTGAAACCCACAAGCACGGGTATGATGCTGACAAACCTACAAACATAATCCGGGCGAACCGGGATTCGAACCCACATTCGTCGGTTTCTGGCGTGCCCAAGGGAAGCAACTCTGCACAGTGAATCTAGGTGACTGGGCCACCCGTGATTATTTAATGTGGAAGTTCCCCTGATAATGACTATTTAGACATCATGTTCGTGAATCACTTTAAGGAAAATACTATTGCTGTGGTAATACGTGTGAAGTAATACAAATTGACCATTCAGCATTGAGACAGCTATGTATGTTTAGTGAAATATATTTTGAGATCTTTTAATGATCCAGGTGTAAGGAACTTTTCTTGATAGTTCAGATTTCTGATACCCAGTACTGATATTTCATTTGTTTTTCAGAAAAGAATTGATGAATTATGCAATATGAAGTCAAACAACATGTCATCAATGTATTTCATCACAGAGGAGACAGCTGGGAAAGGAGACAACACTGTTTGTAAGTTTGCTTTGTCTGTTAACATGGTTGACATGGTTAACATAATATTAAAGACTTTTTATCCCTTGAGTAACTGGGCCATCCCTTCAGTAACTGGGCCATCCCTTCAGTAACTTGGCCATACCTTGAGTAACTGGCCATGGGCCATCCCTTGAGTAACTGGGTCGTCCATTGAGTAACTGGATCATCCATTGAGTAACTGGGTCATCCCTTGAGTAACTGGGTCGTCCCTTGAGTATCTGCGCCATCCCTTGAGTATCTGGGCCAAACCTTCAGTAACTGGGCCATCCTTTGAATAACTGGGCCATCCCTTGAATAACTGGGCCATCCCTTGAGTAACTGGGTCGTCCCTTGAGTATCTGGGCCATCCCTTGAATAACTGGGCCATCCCTTGAGTAACTGGGTCATCCCTTGAGTAACTGGGTCATCCCTTGAGAAACTGGGCCATCCCTTGAGTAACTGGGCCATCCCTTGAGTAACTGGGTCATCCCTTGAGTAACTGGGCCATCCCTTGAGTAACTGGGCCAAACCTTCAGTAACTGGGTCATCCCTTGAGTATCTGGGCCATCCCTTGACTAACTTGGCCATCCCTTGAGTAACTGGGCCATCCCTTGAGTATCTGGGCCATCCCTTGACTAACTTGGCCATCCCTTGAGTAACTGGGCCATCCCTTGAGTTACTTGGTCATCCCTTGAGTAACTGGGTCATCCCTAGAGTAACTGGGCCATCCCTAGAGTAACTGGGCCATCCCTTTATCTGGGCCATCCCTTGAGTAGCTGGGTCATCCCATGATTTTACTGGGCCCACCCTTGAATAACTGGACAATCCCTTGACTAACTGGTCCATCCCTTGAGTAACTGGGCCATCCCTTGAGTAACTGGGCCATCCCTTGAGTAGCTGGGTCATCCCATGATTTTACTGGGCCCACCCTTGAATAACTGGACAATCCCTTGACTAACTGGTCCATCCCTTGAGTAACTGGGCCATCCCTTGAGTAACTGGGTCATCCCTTGAGTAACTGGGTCATCCCTTGAGTAACTGGGCCATCCCTTGAGTAACTGGGCCAAACCTTCAGTAACTGGGTCATCCCTTGAGTATCTGGGCCATCCCTTGACTAACTTGGCCATCCCTTGAGTAACTGGGCCATCCCTTGAGTAACTGGACCATCGCTTGATTAACTTGGTCATCCCTTTAACTGGGCAATCCCTTGAGTAACTGGACCATCGCTTGATTAACATGGCCATCCCTTTAACTGGGCAATCCCTTGAGTTACTTGGTCATCCCTTGACTAACTGGGCCATCCCTAGAGTAACTGGGCCATCCCTTTATCTGGGCCATCCCTTGAGTAGCTGGGTCATCCCATGATTTTACTGGGCCCACCCTTGAATAACTGGACAATCCCTTGACTAACTGGTCCATCCCTTGAGTAACTGGTCCATCCCTTGAGTAACTGGTCCATCCCTTGAGCTACTTGGCCATCCCTTGATTAACTGGGCCAAGCCTTGAGTAACACAGTCAATCCTCGAGAAATTGTATGCTTTATTTCATAGAAATACAACCCTGAATAACAGTATCAGATCAAAAACAAAAAAGTTCCCTTTCCATAAAAAAAAGTCTATGTATTTGCAGATAAGTAATTAAAGAAGAGATTGGTGTACAGGTGTTCAACCTATTTAATGATTTGTAACCAATCAGGTTGAGGAAGTGTGCTGTAAATCCTACCGCACACATTAGCAAACCTTTTTCACGGTACTTTCCATAGCCCATAGTAGCGGTCCTACTAAATAGCATACAGGGGTCTTAAAATATTTAAATGCAGGTTAAGTAGGACTTCTTTCAATATCAATACTGAGTTTGTTCCAAGTATTGAGGGAACCAATGTTAAATGTTCTTTTGAAAGATGATGTTCCGTCGCAGCTGACCCGACCATTATGTTTACAAACAAGTGACGTAACCCCGAATACTCTTACCCCTGATAGAATCTAGAACCAATCTGATCAAACAAACAAAAAGGTAAATTCATTTGGTTGGTTAGTTTGTTGTTTAATGCCGCACTCAGCAATATTCCAGCTAAATGACGGAGGTCTATAAATAATTGTGTCTGGAACAGACAATCCAGTGATTAATGATCATTCGTGATTCTTTTCAAAATTCACTATGATGGCATTCCCAAAGACATACAGAAGTATAACCACTGCTACATTTGGGCTACGAGGGCAAATGACTGGACTTGTCGGATAGATTTGTTGGAGTCAGTCAGATATATATGATGACCATTGATTATTAATTATCTTATTAATTATAATATGTAATGATGACCTTAACATACGTCTGAAATTACCATAAGATCTGCATTGTTGCATTATGGGCTGTCAGACGTCTGATGAAACCTCCCAGACAAATGCGGTCATTTCCAGACCCTCTTTGACGTTAAATATCATAACTCCCTGGTAGAAAAATAGAATAACTGATATTAATCGATGAACAGAAGAGGGCATATGGTAACCAGCGCTGACATGATTAGGACTCGGAAGGCCACATTGGATGCCTGTATGTTATCTGACGTGGAAGGAAAGATGGGTGGCACTTGAGAGTTGTGTCCCTTTGCAAGTCAAGCATCGAGCTCCTCATAGCGATGTATAGAGAGCTCTGCGAACAGGCTATCTCCGATACCAGTCAAAGCTCCCCACTGTGATAGGTGGCTACAACCATGCTTGGAGTTGAACTCGCAGCTGACCCGACCATTATGTTAACAAACAAGTGACGTAACCCCGAATACTCTTACCCCTGATAGAATCTAGAACCAATCTGATCAAACAAACAAAAAGGTAAATTCATTTGGTTGGTTAGTTTGTTGTTTAATGCCGCACTCAGCAATATTCCAGCTAAATGACGGAGGTCTGTAAATAATTGTGTCTGGAACAGACAATCCAGTGATTAATGGTCATTCGTGATTCTTTTCAAAATTCACTATGATGGCATTCCCAAAGACATAGAGAAGTATAACCACTGCTACATTTGGGCTACGAGGGCAAATTTCAAGATTCTTGCAATGGCCGTGCCCATGCTGTTATCAGGGATGTTACCGGGAGTGTAACGAAGGTGTCGCTCACTGAGGAGGAACTTGGTCAAGCCTGATCCCGGCCACCAATTTCTCACTTCTTCAGTCCAAGATGGATAGTGCATAAAGAGGAATGATGAAATGACACGAAAATCACCTTTACTATTTACAAATCTAGTAGACCGCCTCCGTGGTCTAGTGGTAGAGCGTCCGCCCAGAGACCGCCTCCATGGTCTAGTGGTAGAGCGTCCGCCCAGAGAGAGGAAGGTACAGGGTTCAATACCAGGGTGCGTCATATCAAAAGACGTTAAAAGATGGTACTTGTTGCTACCATGTCTGGCACTCAGCATAAAGGGTGTAAAACAAGGACTGGTCGGCTCGGAGTCGGTATACTGTGTCTTAGTGGGGTATTCATGTTAAATTGCAGCATGGTATCTCAGTGAGCTATCACTATAAATCGGCATCAGTCCCGAGTAGTACGCACGCACGCACACACACACCAACATCGCTATATAAGTGCAATATTCTGGGATGTGACTTTAAACCCAATTTCAGCACCTGCAAATCTAGTAAATATTGTGACACCATCAGTTCACCAATCGTCAGTGATTGCTGTTAAATGTAATTAAATAAGGTAACAAGTTACGGCATTTCTTTATTTTACGTAACTGTCGGCTCGTGAAGAATGCTGATTCAGCAGATACGTGCATGTTCTCCTCACTGAAGGAGGTCGGTGTCTAAGCTAAGTCTGTCTATAAATGTGGTTGTAGGTTTAAGTTTATTCTGGATTTGAAAGAAAAATAGCAAAACCATCAACCTTCAAGGATGATTGAATTTTATTACAAACTGAGCCAAAATTTAGAATCACAATATTTGTACAAACTTCTCTAGAGCAAAATTAGGACATTTCTACAATGCTACCTGAGTGGCAATACATGGATGGTCAGTGTTAGCTCTTTGTATCAGAAAAAGATGGGAAGTTTGTAAAATCATCATTTCACCGATGTTCCTGTCTTTTAAAGACGAAAAGCTCCACCTTGCTCTCACATTATATATTCAGATTAAATAATGGAAAAATAATTTTCTCTCAGAGAAAATTTGAGAAAACTGACTTAACTGTTAATATGGTGCTTCAGCACTGTAGCTCACCTGCATATGTAGGCAACAGGTTCAAATGTTGACAACCACTTAACAATTGTTAAGCAATACTGTTTAAATATATTCAGCATAAATACAAAACGTATTGACTAATTGTTTACAGTGTTTCCAAGTCTGCAAGAATGAATGTTCTACAGTAGAACATAGTTGCAATACACAATCAATAAATTTCCTTCAGAACACATAACACACAGCTTAATCAGTGAGGATGTTTAACTGTTTGAAGATACTTGGCTAGTGTAGGATGTCCTCCCATCTGAGCTACACATTCAATGTCCTCATTACTGTCTGTTAGAAGTGTGAGGTCAGCTTTGTGCTGCACAAGGAGGTCAACAACATCTTGATGTCCATGGAATACAGCTTTCATCACAGGTGTGTATCCTTCACTCCCTCTGCTGTTGATGTTAGATGGAGACAGGACATGTTGTTTGAAGATACTTGGCTAGTGTAGGATGTCCTCCCATCTGAGCTACACATTCAATGTCCTCATTACTGTCTGTTAGAAGTGTGAGGTCAGCTTTGTGCTGCACAAGGAGGTCAACAACATCTTGATGTCCATGGAATACAGCTTTCATCACAGGTGTGTATCCTTCACTCCCTCTGCTGTTGATGTTAGATGGAGACAGGACATGTTGTACTATAGCAGTGTTCCCACCCTGACAGGCAAGATGAAGTAAACTATCACCATCTGTATCCACCAGTGTGAGGTCAGCTTGGTTGGACACTAGGAGGTCAAACACACTTTGATGTCCACTGACAGCTGCCCTCATTGCTGCTGTCCATCCATACTCCCCTCTACTGTTGATGTTAGATGGAGACAGAACATGTTGTACTATAGCAGTGTTCCCACCACCACCACAGGCAAGATGAAGTAAACTATTACCATCTGTATCCACCAGTGTGAGGTCAGCTTGGTTGGACACTAGGAGGTCAAACACACTTTGATGTCCACTGACAGCTGCCTGAATCACTGCTGTCCATCCATACTCCCCTCTACTGTTGATGTTAGATGGAGACAGGACATGTTGTACTATAGCAGTGTTCCCACCACCACAGGCAAGATGAAGTAAACTGTCACCATCTGTATCCACCAGTGTGAGGTCAGCTTGGTTGCACACAAGGAGGTCAAACACACTTTGATGTCCATAGTCAGCTGCATTCATTGCTGCTGTCCATCCATATCTGCCTCTACTGTTGATGTTAGATGGAGACAGGACATGTTGTACTATAGCAGTGTTCCCACCACGACAGGCAAGATGAAGTAAACTATCACCATATGTATCCACCAGTGTGAGGTCAGCTTGGTTGGACATAAGGAGGTCAAACACACTTTGATGTCCATTGACAGCTGCCTTCATTGCTGCTGTCCATCCATATCTGCCTGTACTGTTGATGTTAGATGGAGACAGGACATGTTTTACTATAGCAGTGTTCCCACCACCACCACAGGCAAGATGAAGTAAACTGTCACCATCTGTATCCATCAGTGTGAGGTCAGCTTGGTTGGACACTAGGAGGTCAAACACACTTTGATGTCCAGTGACAGCTGCCATCATTACTGGTGTATGTCCATGCATCCCTCTGCTCTTGATGTTAGATGGAGACAGGACATGTTGTACTATAGCAGTGTTCCCACCCTGACAGGCAAGATGAAGTAAACTATTACCATCTGTATCCACCAGTGTGAGGTCAGCTTGGTTGGACACTAGGAGGTCAAACACACTTTGATGTCCATTGACAGCTGCCTTCATTGCTGCTGTCCATCCATATCTGCCTGTACTGTTGATGTTAGATGGAGACAGGACATGTTTTACAATAGCAGTGTTCCCACCATGACAAGCAAGATGAAGTAAACTATCACCATCTGCATCCACCAGTGTGAGGTCAGCTTGGTTGGACACTAGGAGGTCAAACACACTTTGATGTCCACTGACAGCGGCCCACATTGCTGCTGTCCTTCCATACTCCCCTCTGCTGTTGATGTTAGAAGGTGTCAGGACATGTTTTACAATAGCAGTGTTCCCACCATGACAAGCAAGATGAAGTAAACTATCACCATCTGCATCCACCAGTGTGAGGTCAGCTTGGTTGGACATAAGGAGGTCAAACACACTTTGATGTCCATTGACAGCTGCCTTCATTGCTGCTGTCCATCCATATCTGCCTGTACTGTTGATGTTAGATGGAGACAGGACATGTTTTACTATAGCAGTGTTCCCACCACCACCACAGGCAAGATGAAGTAAACTGTCACCATCTGTATCCATCAGTGTGAGGTCAGCTTGGTTGGACACTAGGAGGTCAAACACACTTTGATGTCCAGTGACAGCTGCCATCATTACTGGTGTATGTCCATGCATCCCTCTGCTGTTGATGTTAGATGGAGACAGGACATGTTGTACTATAGCAGTGTTCCCACCCTGACAGGCAAGATGAAGTAAACTATTACCATCTGTATCCACCAGTGTGAGGTCAGCTTGGTTGGACACTAGGAGGTCTAACACACTTTGATGTCCATTGACAGCTGCCTTCATTGCTGCTGTCCATCCATATCTGCCTGTACTGTTGATGTTAGATGGAGACAGGACATGTTTTACAATAGCAGTGTTCCCACCATGACAAGCAAGATGAAGTAAACTATCACCATCTGCATCCACCAGTGTGAGGTCAGCTTGGTTGGACACTAGGAGGTCAAACACACTTTGATGTCCACTGACAGCGGCCCACATTGCTGCTGTCCTTCCATACTCCCCTCTGCTGTTGATGTTAGAAGGTGTCAGGACATGTTTTACAATAGCAGTGTTCCCACCATGACAAGCAAGATGAAGTAAACTATCACCATCTGTATCCACCAGTGTGAGGTCAGCTTGGTTGGACACTAGGAGGTCAAACACACTTTGATGTCCACTGACAGCTGCCTGCATCACTGCTGTCGATCCATGTCTGCCTCTACTGTTGATGTTAGATGGAGACAGGACATGTTTTACAATAGCAGTGTTCCCACCCTCACAGGCAAGATGAAGTAAACTATCACCATCTGCATCCACCAGTGTGAGGTCAGCTTGGTTGGACACTAGGAGGTCAAACACACTTTGATGTCCACTGACAGCTGCCCTCATTGCTGCTGTCCTTCCATACTCCCCTCTGCTGTTGATGTTAGAAGGTGTCAGGACATGTTTTACAATAGCAGTGTTCCCACCATGACAAGCAAGATGAAGTAAACTATCACCATCTGCATCCACCAGTGTGAGGTCAGCTTGGTTGGACACTAGGAGGTCAAACACACTTTGATGTCCACTGACAGCGGCCCACATAGCTGCTGTCCTTCCATACTCCCCTCTGCTGTTGATGTTAGATTGAGACATGACATGTTGTACTATAGCAGTGTTCCCACCACGACAGGCAAGATGAAGTAAACTGTCACCATCTGTATCCACCAGTGTGAGGTCAGCTTGGTTGGACACTAGGAGGTCAAACACACTTTGATGTCCAGTGACAGCTGCCAGCATCACTGATGTCCATCCATATTCCCCTCTGCTGTTGATGTTACATGGAGACATGACATGTTGTACTATAGCAGTGTTCCCACCACGACAGGCAAGATGAAGTAAACTGTCACCATCTGTATCCACCAGTGTGAGGTCAGCTTGGTTGGACACTAGGAGGTCAAACACACTTTGATGTCCAGTGACAGCTGCCAGCATCACTGATGTCCATCCATATTCCCCTCTGCTGTTGATGTTAGATGGAGACATGACATGTTGTACTATAGCAGTGTTCCCACCACGACAGGCAAGATGAATAATTCCGCTGCCATGTTTATCTTTCACATTCAAATTTGATGTCTGCAGTAACTTAAAACATCCCTCTGATCCTGTATGTGCTGCAACCATGACAGGGGTCTTGCCATTCACATCAACAGAGTTTATAACATTTTCCCCAGGTTTCCTGGTTAACAGGACTTTCAGGGTTTTTTCCATTCCTGATTTACAGACAAGATGGAAGATGTTTTGCATTCCCTTGTCTCTTGTGTTAATATCAGCGCCTTCCTGCAGCAGATACACCAGTATGTCAGAGCTGCCACTTTCAGCAGCTACCAACAAAAGTCTGTTCAGTGTCAACTGATGGTCATGTTTCTCACTCCTGCTGAACAGCCATTTCAATGCTGTCACTTTGTTGCTTTGTGCACATCCTTCCATGGCCTCACTGATTTCTCCTTGAGTGAACTCTTCTCCAGTTGTGTGTTCTATATCTGTAAATAGACGTGCATTATGTCCAAGAACTGCCCAGTACAGAAGACATTGTCCTTTCTCTTTCTTGTGAAACCAAAGATGTTTTGTCCGATCACAGTGAAGTTTCTTGAGCAGCTTGAAAACTGTGGCGTCTTGTTTGAGAATTGGATGTGTCACTGATTTAGAAAACTGTCCTTGTTTAATAGACTGTGTAAACCTTGTGGTAAGTAGGTCATCATAATTCTCTGAGACATAGATCAAATGGAGATAATCATCAACCTTGGTTTCTTCAACCTTGTCACCTTGTACCCTTTCAAACAGAAAGTCATCACTGCAGTGCTTCAAAACAAAGATTGGACTGATATTATACAAGGCACAGGCACAAGCATCATAGATTGAAGAATGAGCAAAGCCAACAGTGTCTCCTCTTGTGAAGAATGTACCTCTCAAACCTTTAGCTGCTTTGTACATGCCTGAACGTGTAGCGTCAGACATCATCTGTAAAACAGTTTTGACCAGGCTGTCCATTTCCTTATCCTCACCTCCACTGTCTAACTTGCTCAGGTCCAATTTGTCTTCACACAGTAGCATCAGAACCAGAATGGCCGATCGGTCATTTCTCTCTTCAAGCAAACGCTTTAGCTCTAACCTGAGATAAAACAGTGGTTCCTTGAAAAATGATTTTGCATTTTTGTAGAAAGATGAAAATTCAAAACAAAGTTTACAAATAAGAGGGAATCCAAAGATATTTGAACAGATTTCCAGCTCACTGTAATCAGGTATATGTTGCATGGAGCAGTCACCGAGAGCTTTCCTATGTCGTTCAAATATTGTCTTTTTCTCTTTGTCAGAAAGCCAGTATTTATCTTGTGTGGTTAAATCCATTACAGTTTGACCTTTGAACAGTTTGAAACCCTCGTATTGCAGTTTTGCAAGTCCATCATGGAAGTTGTATGACTTTGATGTGAAGACAACACGAATATCTTTTGTTTGAAATTCTGGTTGACTCTGCAATTTCTTTCTGGATTTACCAACAGCATCACTATCTTTTGTTTGAAATTCTGGTTGACTCTGCACTTTCTTTCTGGATTTACCAACAGCATCACTATCTTTTGTTTGAAATTCTGGTTGAATCTGCACTTTCTTTCTGGATTTACCAACAGCATCACTGCTTTCATGCATTTCTGACTGCAGCTTTTCCGCACTTCGCTTTTGTTCTAAATGGAGGAGAAGGTTGTTTAGAAAGGTTTTCACCTGTGATGTATTCGCAGATAATCCAACAGTACCAAACATGTCATCTACTATGAGGAATACTCTGGGGTGGCTACTAAGGCACTGGTCTAAGTCAAACTTCTCAATGTTGTCCACAAACACGACCTCGTAGCCTTTGTCTCTGTACTGTGAACCTAACACCAGAGCCATCGTTGTCTTGCCTTCTCCCGAAGCCCCGCAGATGGTCACATGTCCAAATTCCTTCAGTTTTCGTTTCACGTCTTTGTAGGGTTCAGTTGCAAGAAAAATCTTCTTTGCTTCGTCTGTGCGCAAATCAAGGGTACCTGTGGAGGAATGAAAACTATTAACCATCCCAGCAAATACTTGGATGTTAAAATTAAACTACAAAATATTTGCTAACTAAATCTTCTTGTGTTAATTATTAGGGGGAACAATGCATCTGGATTATACATCACACAGATGTGTTCCTGACTTAGTGTACACAACTATATTCATATTTTATAGCCCTCTTCATTCAGTCTTGTTAATAATGGCAATGTTTGCCATTTTGCCAGTTTCAACCCTCTTCAACAAATTCAACCAAATTTAAATCTAAACTTTTACTCTGATACAATACCTCTCTGTGTTAAGCTCTTACGCCATAGGAGGTCACATCATCAGAAAATAAGCACTGATCTGCTCTGAGAAGTGTTTAACAGAGTCTGGCACAACATCATTGTCAATACTTCTGGAGTTAGTATACACTGCTCCATCACCCATTACTACATGAGGGTGGCATTTGGGACAAGGGGAATACAATTCTGATTGATGATCGGCACCACCTTCTCGCTGAGAATGTTAAGAGTCTTGCACAAGATCTAGTAGTTTACTGACCCTTCAGCCATGAACACTCACCTCTCCCAAGTGTTCCTTGTCCGGCCTGTCCAGTGATGATGTTCAGAGTGTTCGCCACCTGGAAGCCACCTGAAGGATGGTCACCTGTCAACACCAATATATGAGGAATCATCGGTAACCAACATTTGAATTGATCAGATATTCTCTTTACACGTTGAATAACATCATTTAATTTTATTGCAGTGCTCAAGAGTGGAGTGTACATCATTTTGAAGTTTTAGGTTCTTTAGATAATAATCTTATCCCAGCAATAACAATTGCTTTAGACCAAAACATGTAAATCATGAATCAAGTTAATAAGCTACACATTAAGTTCAGCAGATAAGTAATTCTTGAATCATCTTCAACAGGTAATAGCCAAGTTCATTATTACCCGAATGAGAGAAGGGGAGAGAGAGGGATGGGGTTCATTACATTTGATCAAGAAATAATAAATGGTCTTTGAGTTATGCTCCGGAAATAAACCCTGGCCTCATCTATCTGAACCTACACTCAATTTATTGTGATGGAAACCAAACGAAGAAATTTCAAAAACTTCTAAATAGTAAAAGGCACCTGTCAGTTCAAGGTTAGATACTGTGCAACATTTGATCAAGAACTATGGAACAGTCTTTCACAAACAGGCAGACAGCAGCGATTCCAATATACCGCTACCACTTCATGGCGGGGATGACAAGTACGGAATGTGATATTTGGAAGGATGGACAGACAGTACCGATTCCACTGCCTGGAAGGGATAACACGTATGGAATAAGTAATTTTTGCATGATGATTGCAACAGAAACAAGAAAGAAAGTTAACAAAGGTCACATACCCGCGTTATCCCCGCTGGTCAACAAAAAATAGTAAATAGTTTGTTAATTAATGAAATATACCTGTTGCTTTAAGTCAGAGGAACTGCCCTTTCCTTTGCAACCCCATGAGGATGCATCATGTTTGAAATGAACGCATGTTTTTGCAAATATATTTCAATCTAGTGTGGGATAACCAATGGTTAGCACAACATACTTTCTTGATGTTTCTTAATGTGTCCATGGAAACGGCAAAAATTAAAAAATTCAGAATCCTCAAACTAGCAAAAGACACAAGTACCCATTGTGGTAAATGTGTGTAGCAAGTTTGGTGCATGGTTAAAAAGTTATTGGCCGTACAAAAGCTCGGACGGAAGGACGGACGGATGGAAGAAAGGACAAACAGATGGAACGCTAAGTCTCATCTTTCCTTGTAGACAAGAAACAGCCACTTTATCAACGTTTCTAGAAGGCCCCAGTAATCAAAATATACCACCACACAAAGTGCCTCCACAACCTCATACCAGATCGAAGCACCTTGACATCCATTACACAGCACAACGCAATATTCCTCCACAACCTCATACCAGACTCAAGCACCTTGACAATCAGTACACACCACCACGCAATGTGCCTCCACAACCTCATACCAGACTCAAGCACCTTGACAATCAGTACACACCACCACACAATGTGCCTCCACAACCTCATAACCAGATTGAAGCACCTTCACAATCATTGCACACCACCACGCAATGTGCCTCCACAACCTCATACCAGACTCAAGCACCTTGACAATCAGTACACACCACCACACAATGTGCCTCTACAACCTAATACCAGACTCAAGCACCTTGACAATCAGTACACACCACCACACAATGTGCCTCCACAACCTCATACCAGATTCAAGCACCTTGACAATCAGTACACACCACCACACAATGTGCCTCTACAACCTCATACCAGACTCAAGCACCTTGACAATCAGTACACACCACCACACAATGTGCCTCCACAACCTCATACCAGACTCAAGCACCTTGACAATCAGTACACACCACCACGCAATGTGCCTCTACAACCTCATACCAGACTCAAGCACCTTGACAATCAGTACACACCACCACACAATGTGCCTCCACAACCTCATACCAGACTCAAGCACCTTGACAATCAGTAAACACCACCACGCAATATTCCTCCACAACCTCATACCAGACTCAAGCACCTTGACAATCATTACACATCACCACGCAATGTGCCTCTACAACCTCATACCAGACTCAAGCACCTTGACAATCAGTATACACCACCACACAATGTGCCTCCACAACCTCCTACCAGATTGAAGCACCTTGACAATCATTACACATCACCACGCAATGTGCCTCTACAACCTCATACCAGACTCAAGCACCTTGACAATCATTACACACCACCACACAATGTGCTTCCACAACCTCATACCAGACTGAAGCGCTTTGACAATCAGTACACACCACCACACAATGTGCCTCCACAACCTCATACCAGATTGAAGCACCTTGACAATCATTACACACCACCACTCAATGTGCCTCTACAACCTCATACCAGATTGATGCACTTTGACAATCATTACACACCACCACACAATGTGCCTCTACAACCTCATACCAGATCGAAGCACCTTGACAATCATTACACACCACCACACAATGTGCCTCTACAACCTCATACCAGACTCAAGCACCTTGACAATCAGTACACACCACCACACAATGTGCCTCTACAACCTCATACCAGATTGATGCACCTTGACAATCAGTACACACCACCACACAATGTGCCTCTACAACCTCATACCAGATTGAAGCACTTTGACAATCATTACACACCACCACACAATGTGCCTCTACAACCTCATAACCAGATTGAAGCACCTTGACAATCATTGCACACCACCAAGTAATGTGCCTCTACCACTAACCACTAGTAAATGTGGAATTCTGTATGTAATGAGTCAACAGTTGAATGTTCTTTAAGAAGCATACATTGTTTACCAACTGAATGGTTTTCGAATTCTGACCTGGAAATCAACCCGTTCCCCAATGGAGTCTAGGTCCAACTTCTTTCCATAAAAATTGTAAAAAATAAAAATTCGTAAAAAACAAATATCAAAAGGCACCACTTCAGTATGTGCCTGATAGCTTTGTCAAGTTTCGATCAAATACACTGAATGGTTTTCAAATTCTGCCCCTGTAACGAACCCCATCCCCAATTGATTCTATGTCCAACTTCATTCCATAAAAACGTATATATTTTTTTTTAGAAAAATCCCAAAATATCAAAAGGCACTACTTCAGTATGTGCCTGACAGATTTGCCAAGTTTCAATCAAATACACTGAATGGTTTTCGAATTCTGCCCCGGAAAAGGAAATGATTACGGACGGACAGACAGACTGGCTGATTGCTATTAGAGGTGTAACGATATGGGAGGGTCGCGATACAATGCCTATCGCGATGCAGTGTTTACTGGTACAAGCTAAGCCAAGTTGATGTCTTTCTGCTATCTAAAAGATGTGACAAGTACAGTTGAAGAAGATATAAGGTGTTTATTTACTGTAAATAGCAAATTGTCAGCAATACAGTATGTTTTACTGAAACAACAAACTGGCTTTGAAACTGTTAAGCGTATTTCATGGGCGCGCACCCCCCCTCCCCCCTTTTTATTTCGAAAAAAATCTTTATTTCTGTATAAATTACCACCAAAGACAATAAATAGATCTTACCTGTGCACCCCCCCTTTACAAAAAAGCTGTATCCGCCCATGTATTTCATGTATTTTCTTGAGTATAGCGCGCACCAATGTATAATGCGCACGCCCCTCTTGCGGGTTCAATATTTTGGAAAAAAAGAAATTTGAATATTATGCGCAGAAAAAATTTACATTGTACCCCTTCAGCGAAGTCCGGCAAACGAACGGGTGATGAGAAACTTTGTCAGTACAAGTTCTAAATTTGAGATAAAAAATCACCAGACATGTTGATTTACCGTTTAAATTGTATTTTTTGTTCAGCTAGGCATTGTTTTATATCCAGGGATTAAGATTACCTTGTGTATTTTCTCGTAAACTAAGTGGGACACAGCAATCAGCTGTACATGTACACACGTTTTCTTGGAATATACCGGTGATTCGGTCAAGACACACCCAATGATATTCCAATATATTGTTAATTTAGATGCAGCTTTTAATAAACATATTTAAAATTATAATAACCCTAAGCGAAGCAGCTGATCGCTATTCCCGGGTATTATTTTTTACATGGAACCAGTCTGACCCTTCACCGTCAAGGCTCCCGTGATCGTGAGAATTACGTGTTGACATAGAATCGTGCAACAAAAACAAATCTGACTTTTAACGAATCAAAGTATGGCATTTATGATATATGTATCAATTCTCTGTCAACAAAAATTCCTTTCAAGGCGTCAATAGCGGTAATCTGACCGTGGTTGCTGTTAATAACGGTGAGTTGTGCGATCTTCCGATCGCTTCACACACGATTTCGCCGAAATTAATTAAAACAATATTAAAAGGAATTTTGAATAAAATTAATGAAATAAGTTACAAACATGAGTCCAGATATACAAAGAAAACTTTTTTATAGCCAGACAGTGTAATTACATGAATAATTTGCGAACTTCAGTATGGATTTGTTGACATGGTATTTCCGGTGTTACGTGCTCACGGTAATGTCTTTCCATGGGGGAAAAACATCAAAACTCATTAATTCGTGTATAATGCGCAACCCCTTCTACACAGCTGTGTATTTTGGAAAAAAAAGTGAGCACTATACTCAAGAAAATATGGTAGGTAAAACTGTGTTATGAATATATCGTATGTATCGCGATACATGATTTCCAAGTCGATGCATCGTATCGTGGGCTGTGCATCGGGATACAATACTCTATTCGCCGTATTACATCACTAATTGCTATATCCCCCTCGCATTATATGCCTGGGATATAAATGTGCCTCTACAACCTCATACCAGATTGAAGCACCTTGACAATCATTGCACACCTCAACGCAATGTGCCTCCACAACCTCATACCAGATTGAAGCACCTTGACAATCATTACACAACACCACACAATGTGCCTCTACAACCACATACCAGATTGAAGCACCACCACACAATGTGCCTCTACAACCTCATACCAGATTGAAGCACCTTGACAATCATTACACACCACCACACAATGTGCCTCTACAACCTCATACCAGACTGAAGCGCCTTGACATTCATTACACACCACCACTTAATGTGCCTCTACAACATCATACCAGATCGAAGCACCTTGACAATCATTGCACACCACCACACAATGTGCCTCCACAACCAGATTGAAGCACCTTGACTCTAGCTTACATACTGAGAAACCTACAGGCCCTCGGGAGGATATGTACTAAATTTGAGGATGACTAATCAATGTGTGCATGCGTGCACGTCCGAGCTACATAACACTACTTTATTTTTCCTATATTTTTAAGAGATGGACATAATTCACTTGATGAATCAAATTGTAAATAGTGTTCCTGGGTAAATTATTTTAAAAATGACAAACAGGGTGACATTTTGGGGGGCAACAGTGACACCCACCTGTTCTTAATCTTTTCACTGGTGGCTGGCTCACTAGCTCAAGGTCCTCCTCGGTCTCAGCTGAACCAGCCAATACCAGGTGACCTCCAGGTTCCTCGTCTGAACTGACCACGCTGTTTCCAGAGTCATCCTCTGTTGTGAAGATTTCCCCAGCTGAACTTGCCATGTCAACATCAGAAATAGCCAAATGTCCTTGAGGCTCAGAAGTGTCCATGTGACCTTCAGACTGCTCACCAGAAGTTGCCATTTGACCTTCAGACTGCTCACCAGAAGTAGCCATGTGACCTTCAGACTGCTCACCTGAAGTTGCCATTTGACCTTCACACTGCTCACCAGAAGTAGCCATGTGACCTTTAGACTGCTCACCAGAAGTTGCCATTACCAGATGGTGTCCACAGTCTTCATCTGTACTGGCCATCACAGTTCTCTTCACATCGCCATGCACTATCTGTGAAAATGGAGGGGAATCTAATCAAGCTGTGACAATAAGTGAAGCCAGTCCGACATCATTGTGTCATGGGTACTGTAGCTCACCAGCTGTATATCGAGATTGCAGGTCATCATTTCAGTATCCCATTTGGGTTTTCATGGTTAAAACTTTACTTACAACACACTTTTTATAATGTCCTCTGTATTGAGCAGAGATTTCTTTGATTAAGAAAAGGGCTTTGTTGTTTATATTAACAAAAACATTGGTATTTTTCATTCTCACAATGCATCTTCCTATCTCATTTATGAACACTGTCCATGATATAACAAGAGTACCACACGTTCAGAACCTTCTTCTTTGATGTAACATTTGAGGAGGTTCCAAAGAATTTGTGATAACTTCTTTGAAATGACCTCCTAATTTGTTTAATATGCTGACAAAAGAATAATGACTGCTATGTCATATTCCAAAGTCCTATTTCTCTGGTGTCTACAGACACCCAGAAATATTCACAGTAACTGTCCAAAAAATTAAAGACTATCTGTAAACAAAATACATCCCACGTCAAACCAAGAATCTTTTTTTTAAATATAACGTAACCTAATATAATTGGTTGATTTACATTAGTTTTTTTTCTTTTTTATGGTATTATTATTGCATGTCTACCAAAGATAAATTCCAGATGAAGCCTTCTCATATAGTAATTATTGTGCATGCAAGGGTTCAGCTTTCTGTCTTGGGATTGCCGAGGGTCAAAATTCATTCATGGTTGTGAAACATACTTGCCAAAGTTCAGCTTCCTCAGTTTTGGAAGTGATGAGTTTAACTGGGCTAAAAATACATTTGAAAGGTCATGGTCATAACGTAAGACCATCTCCTTGGTCTAGAGATAGAACGTCAGTGGTTCGATCCCTGGCCGTATCCTACCAAAAGACATTAAAAGAAGGTACTTGTCACTCAGCCCGACACAGTAAGGGGCTAAAACAAGGACTGGAAAGCTTGGGTCAGTATATTGTTTCTGAGTGGTGTATTCATGTTAAACTGCGGATTGGTGTCTCAGAGGGTTAGCACTATAAAGCATTAGTCCGGAGTAGTACAACCACGCGAACATGCACATACATGCACACGCTCACAATTTGGGACGTGACGTTAAACACCATTTCACCTCGCATCAAAACATGAAGGTTAATCAAGGTCAAAATGTACAATATCAGAAAAACAGAACTTTTGAGTGTCTTGGAAGCCACATCAAAAATTGCATTTCAACGTCTTTAACATATAGGGATGTCATCAAGCTTCAGCTCAATCAGTGTCACACCAGAGAAGATATTCAGGAAGCACAACAGACAAGGACAAACAGACTGACCTCAAAATGGCGGCCGTGCTCAAAGTTTGATGAACATTTATATGAGCACTTGATAGGACTGAGATACAATAGCTTGTATGATTCATGCAAAGTTTCAGATTCATGGGTTTGGCAGTCTAACGACAGATGGACCAACGGCGGCACAACGCTCATAAAATGAATTTAACATCCCTGTCTGAAATCTGCTTGAACATTTGGGTTTTCAAATCACTCCGGACGTTTTGTCTGCATGCCTACGTGTCTGCTACACAGACTCCGAATACTGTGTACATATTACTAGCTGATTACATAATACTATACCAAATATACTCACGGAACACTACGTCGCGGAATACGTTGCAAGCCTTCAGCATGTTGAGAAGTGGTAGACTGGTACTTGAAACAGCATCCTGGTTGACACATCTAGCTGTACTTCCGTTGCAGTGCGCGGTAGAGCGAATCCTACTTTCGCTTTCACTTTCAGAATCTTGCTCGATATACAGCAACAAGAAGTTCCCGTCCCGTCCTAAATATGATCCCATCATATCAATTGTCCTTCTCTTACTGCCATTTAAAGTTATTTCGTGAGTTCATGTTTCTAAACTGGCTTTTTGCTCGCTGTTCTTAAAGAAAACTGAAAAACGGGAATACCAAAACTATTAATAGCTTCGTCCCGCAGTGTATAGTAATAGTTAATTCCATTGGTTGTTATTACAGATACAGCCTGGTTCCCTTGGTATGCTACGCTGGCGCTAGACTATGCCAATAAAGTCTGATATAAGAGACGGGGCCCAGCTTACACTATGTAGCGCCAGCGCGGCATACCCGGGGAACCAGGCTGTTTCAACTTACTGAATGAAGAGATGGAACCCAGCTTCTGGCCAACACTCCACATTGACTGGTTCCCGTTTGTTCCTGCACGGACCAAAATTATATAGGCCCGTAGTTACTGAGAAGACAAATATCGAGAAAACAAACTAACGCAATCAGTAAACGAAAATTGCCAAAACACAAAACGCTTCGCCCCATTTTCCACAAACCTGTTTCCGTGTTTTATCTGTGCCGCATAATCGGCTCATGAAACGGGACTCGTTTGCGAAATTCATGCTTATTCATTGTCCAAACGACCTTCGAGGCGGATTCGATATTCGATTTATTGATACTAGTATCTAAAGTCATTAAGTGATATTAATATGTAGGGAGGAAATAGTAAAATGGCGCCCATAGCTAACACTCATTGTTGCCTAGGGAGTTTGTGGAAACAAGGTTTGTGCCTGATTTGTTGTCTCGCGGAAATAAATATTTTGCCAATAAGTGTTGAATTCTAAAACTTGTTGCAGCGTATCCATATATTTGTTCTTTGTTATAACGTGTGGTACATACACAATTATATGCACCGTCGTAGGTACACGTAGATAAAGTTAGTTCTACACAATGTAACATGGAAAATGTCGTTCGTTTACATTCACTTTCTATACCATAAGCACGGCCTTCAGAGAAACGTTCTATTTGTCGATACATAATATTGATCTATACCAGTCCACTTTTGGTAGGGATATTTGTATATTTCCATTATACACAAAACTCATTCTCATAATAATCATTGTTGCCTAATGATTTTGTGTGAACAAAACACATTTTGTGCGTGAATTTGTGTCTGGCGGAAATTATCTAGATTTTTTTGATTTTTTTTTATTGTACATGAGATATAGACAATCATATGATTCGATTCCCAACATGGGCAGAAAGTGTGAAGCCCATTTCTGGTGTCCCCCGTCGTGATATAGCTAGAATATTGCTAAAAGCAACGTAAAATCATACTCACTCACTGATTCCCTATTGGTCCTGTATTTTAGTGAAGAACAAGTCACATCTTCAAAGCCTTAAACATTTGTTAAAACCACTTTAACAGCAAGTGGGAAACCTTACTGACAGTTGCTGCAGATTTGAGCTGAGCAGGTCTACAGCTACATCAATGGTGACACCATGCTAAAAGCCCAATATTCCAGATGCCAAAACAACTATAATAGTTAATGTTGTGATTCATTCTAAAACTTAAAAAATACATTTTGAACAAAGCCAGTAAGTGTACATCATATATCTGATATTTCGTATCTTCCAGCAGTAGGCTAGTGTTATCCTATTATTACAAGCAGATTTTATTTTTGATTTAACGTAATGGGGACGGTCTGGGTAGCCAAATGTTTAAAGCATTCACTCGTCACGCCGAAGACCCTGGTTCGATTTCCTACATGGGTACAATGTGTGAAGCCCATTTCTGGTGTCCACCGAAATAATACAATGACAATATACTGCTGGAATGTTGCTAAAAGCGGCATAAACTCAAACTAACGGTGAAAGAATATGTTGTTTGTGGGTTTCAATCCCAGAATCCCCCTGATTATTACCCATGATTCAACAGCATTGTCACAGGTTTAACATTAGTGGAAACATCTATGACAGTGTCAGTTGCTGCCAAGCTGTCCTTCTCCATAAAACGGGCGGAGGGCTGGGGTAGGTGGGGATGTTGGGGGTCAAAACAAATCTCACGTCTTCAAAAGTTTAATAAGGGATGTCAGAGAAAATTATGTATGTTTTATCTTTATTCTCACAGACAGTCGAATCAAAGAGCAGCACATACAAGAAGTGACGGACAGGTTGAAACCAGGGAAGGTGGAGTGCTACCTGTGTGGTCCATCCCCCATGATAGCAAGTATAGAAACAATGCTTAAGGCTTGTGGCATCACTGAACCCAGCATTCACTACGAGAGATGGTGGTAGATGCTCTGGGATTGTATATTGGAGGAGTATCATGGCATTATGGAATTCCTATGGTATGTTTTATTAAGTTTTAAGCACATATCAGTTGTGCCCTTGACAAATGTAGTGATAATTCCAATTAAGTGTTGCTGTATTTGTCAAAGGAATTCCCATGAAGCTCTCAAAAACCTGAATAAAATCTGTGATCACTGAGCAGTCTCAATTTTTATTGATTTACAATTTCAGGTTTTCAGGTAACTGTAGTACTTTTTCCCTTGATAATTCAGGGTGGAACTGGTCCCTGTACTGCATGCTTGTGGTACAAAATCATTGCTTTACTGCTCTGCTATTACTATCGGACATCTAGTGGTCGCTGACACATAGCTACGATTCACGCCTTCAAATGCTTCTTCTTCAGTAGATGTTGAATTTGCACCGTCCTTCACAAGCTTCGTCACTGTACCTTACAGAATATCATTTAACCTTATACCCCCTTGTTCCCGAACCACTTACCTTCAAGTACACCAAGTATTTCAACTGAAAATGAATTTTGTCAAAAGGACTGCACCTGTCAAAACAAAGGGGTCGAGTTTACTGTTGGGCCAATGTGTTTAAAATTCTTAACCTCGACAGAGACAGCAAACTCACAAAACTCAACTCCCATTTATGCTGTTTGCAAAGGCGAATGGTAAAATCCTAACACATAGTTATGCATTCAGTAAACTACAGTTATAACGAACTCAAGGGACCACTAATTTTAGTTCGTAATAACCGTAGTTCGTTATAAGCATACATACAGCATATATGCAACAAATGGAAATCGGCCAGTTCATTATAAGGGTGTTCGTTATAAAGGTAGTTTACTTTACTTGCAATTTGCCCGTCAGGGAGCACTCTTTTCAAAAATCACAAAACACGGCTTACGGTAGTACTAATACTGGTGGCATGAGCGGAAAGGGAATTCTGAATTCCGCTATTGAGATGTATTCAGGTCATGTGTTACACTTGTCTTCAGGCTTTGGCATCTATAAACGTAGCACCACCAATATGTTTAGTAACAAAGCAACAAGAACAAATGATCCTAATGATATCTTCTGAATGACGTCTCAAATGTGTAATCTTTGAGTTTGATGTGAAATTTGTTCATGGAGTCAATGAAAGAATTCCAGCATATCATTAAGACATTTAATGAGAGGGAGACATTTCTTCCTTACATTCAACTGTTACAAGAAAGTTCTTGAAGGTACTGTATGTCCTCTCCCCTTATTATGGAAGAGGTAACAGCGAGAGTTAACTTTCCTGAAATGTACGCACCAATACATGTATGGTAGTACCATGAGGTCTTCCCTTCTCCCTCTGAATTCTTAAAATGAAACATCTTTCATACAAAGGTCATGTGAGGTTTCCAGTTTAACACGGATTCCCAACTCAGACACATACAAGTGCTTGTTTTATCCCCTTAATGCAAAGCACCAGGCAGTGTAACAACAAGTACCATATCTAAACGTCTATTGGTATGACGGGAATGGGAATCAAACCACCAACCTTCCGCTCTCTGGGCAGATGATCGATCCACTACACAATGGAGGCAGTCCCTTCACACAAAAACCCGAACATAAAACAAAAAGATTTGTACAGATTTATTTCTATTTACAAGAAATTTTACAGACAAAATATGACCATAGCTTGACAAGCAGAGAGCTCAGGGGAGGCGTCAACACAGTTCACATGCCACAAGCGAGACTGTTAGTCTCTAGGATGAAATGAATCCAACACATGATGAACATATATGACTTGGTATCTTACAGTGAACAGATGAAGTAGGTGGACAATGACTGGAAACATCAGGCTGCACATATGAAGATGAAAGCTATCCATTTAAGTGGGGAAATGACCACCTTGGGTGTTCAAGAATCCACATGATTTATGATGCATACAACAGAATATACAGTTCAACAATAGGGAACTTAAAACAAATGAAAGATAGCTGAGAAGCATCCTTCACAAAGACTAAAGGATTACTATGAATACCTTCAAGCAGGTACCATCACATTATCAAGTGCCTCTGCATTCTCTTGAGGATGTCTACTGGTAGACAAACATATCGGTTCCAAATGAAATTTACGGGGATCCAATACTGTTTAACACCCACAAATCTCCAAACAGATAATGTACATCAACATTGGAACAAGATATCGGTACTTCTCCACTGCACTCTTTTTCTATTCATACTAAACAGCTGTGAGACATGTGACCTCAGTCTAGAATACTATGTCATATACAATGGGCAATATCGTGCTCCTATGACAACTGAAACTGCATTTTTTGCGGAATTCAAGTAAAAGTAAAAAGTGGAGGCACTATAGACTGGATGCTCTATTGTTTCCATGCCTAGTGCTACGTTTTCCAGGCTTGACAAAAGCTATCCAAGAGAGGAATCGTTTAGATGATTTCTGGGATTCAAATCCCATTTAACAATCAATCAGATTGCCACGCCCCCATTCTTTTTACAATCCATTGTCAAAACAAATCAGTGCAGCAGAGAAACACTGACTAACATCAAGTCATAAAAGATACATTTAATGTCAAGCTCAGGAACCTAACACCGGGTCCCATATTGACGATGCTAAGTTTCACTAAGTAGAAGCATCATTCTTCAACAGCATTGTAACTCTGTCAAATGATGTCATTACACTTGTGTAATCAATGGAACCATAGAAAAGTGGGGGAAATATCACAGCTATTATCAGTCATTTCCTTTTATGTCTCAATAGTAAAGTGTGTGTGAGTGATTTCCCTTTTCTTCATTCAAACAGTTTCATTAAATACTCCTGTAGACATCCTTAGAGGTTAATAGTAATATATTCAGTTTCCAAGAACAATGCATACAAAATCCACAAACATGTTAAAAAAGATGGAGTTCAAATTTTAAAATGGTAGAATTCTCAAAGGCAACCAAAATGTTTACTTGAAATACCTGATCGATCAGTTTAGGAATCAGAATACTTTTCATCCCTTTGTTTCGTACATGAAGAGAGCTTACATACCACTAACTATTTAACAAAAAGTGTATTTTTTCCACAAATTACATAATCCCCTTAACCAGATCGCTAAACAGTAAACTCCTCCCAGTCATGTTAGCTTACCAAAATATTTTTCAATGACTTTGATACAAAAATCAGTAGCTAGATCACTATGAGCTCTCTACAGTCTTCACATTGTCAAGAGTCCAGCACTTTCACACAACACAGATTGTCCTCCTCCAGAGATGGTACAGCCCTATAAGATGTAGTCCAGTTCATATCGGATGTACTGGTTCTTGGCATCGTTGGGGATTCTGGGATAGGCTGGAATCATGCCGTCTTGTGCCCCAATGTACACTGTGTTGTACACCTTCCAGTAGACGTCACGAACCTTGCGAGCAGGATGGAATAGGCCCTGAAAAAACATCAACAAACAGTGAGCTGGGCTCAATGCTGCTTTCATCAGTACTTCAGTAAAATTACATCAGTCAGCTTAATACACGATCAAATCAACACTGGTCTTACAGTGATTGGATTTTGGTGTCCTGTGACCCATACCGCAAAGTCATCTTACAGCGAGGATTGTCGCAAGTCTATGTTAAAGTATGGGAGTTATGATCATCTTAGTGCTAAGATTGCTTTGTGGAATGGGGCCCTGAGGTCCTTTCAGGTTTGATCCTTTTGTCTTTGAATCAGGGAAATCCCACTCCATCTTTACCTGTTAACATTAGGACAAGGACTTTCATTCTAAGTGTCGAATAGTAGTCTGTGAAAGATTTACAAAACCATGACACACAGTAACACATGTACTTGATCATCACTCAGTATGGGACTTGAGCCACTCGACCAAAGTCAGAGTGAGGTAATGATCACAGTGTCGAAGATAAAACCTATGTACAAACTACAATCGAGGCAAACATGAGATTCAAAACCTATGAACAGATTTCCGTCCTTGTTGCTAACTCCGTATGCTATTGTTTACATACAAAATGCCTTCGCGCTGTTGCATACCGCAATGTGACCGTCGTTCTGACGGCCACGGTTTTCCTCAAGATACGGATATTTACATGAAATGGTGTGTGGCGATTAGAAGAGAGGATCCGGCATCCAAGAAATTATCTATCAATGAAGCTAATTGTCCTCAATGACCTGGACAGCAAGCCCGCCATTCGCCCTGATGAGTATTGAGGGGTAATAAGGGGGTGAGCTTCATGCTGCTTTGAACATATTTCAGTTATATCACAGCATGTCAGATTAATATGGGAGGATAGCCTAATGTGTTGCAGGTTTTCAACAGTTCCCACGTTAGTGAAACTTAAACATACAAAAGATCATAATCTGGGCAAACTCACAAACAGCGGATCCTGACATGCCTTGGGGACATAACTCTGCATTGCCAAATGCAGTGCCCCATCAAGGCAGTTCATTTTGTAAACACTAAAGAAATAAACACAAACCTGCATGGCATACTGGAGTATTTTTGACGGCCCAATGGCCACTCTGAGGCCTTCGACAGCCCCCATGAAAGCCTGCACAACATGAGGGGAGGTTTCGAAGATGTTGGGCCAGACATAGTTGAGGAGATGGGTGAGTGCATCCTCGCATCCAAAGCCGTACACACCAAGAGCCATGTGCTGGATTGCTGCCATGGACGTCTGCCGATGCACCAGATCTCTGCAAAAAAAACAACAGGGAACAGTGAATTCTCATGGTCTGGGATGTAACAATCAATGAGTGAGTGAGTGAGTTGGGTTTGATGCCGCTTTTAACAGTATTCCAGTTATATCGTGGCGTGTCAGCTTAATGTGGAAGGAAAGCCCAAAGTGATGCAGGTCTCAGACGTTTACCACTTCGGTGAAACCCACGACCACGGGTATGGTGCTGACAAGCCTAGAAACATAATCGGGGCGAACTTGGATTCGAACCCAAAATCATAGGTTTCTGGCGTGTCCAAGGGACGCAATTCTGCACAGCGAATCGCGGCGCCTTAGACGACTGGGCCACCCGTGCCCCCTTACAATTGATTATTACCAATAATTTACTTTCCATTTGTTTTGTTAACTAATACACCTTGCTTGAACATGGTGAAAAGGTGTGTTGGTATCAATGAAAAAGCGTTCATAATTTCAAATCAAACAATGCCAGTAATTAGAAGTATTAGCCACTGTCAACAATGCTAGGGAATCTACATTGTAGGAGATCCAAATACATTCCAAGCTATCGTACTACTATTGCAATGACTGTACCAATATCATAACGTTGTGATGGTGTTGTTAATTATAATAATACACACATATACTGTAAATCGTGAAATAAATGTGTCTCCAAAACAATGCGTACGCTGGCCCCTAGCCAAAAATGCGTCTCAATATGAATGTGACACCCCCCTCCTTTCAAGCATCAGTGGATTTATATCTAAAGAAAATGTCCTGTCAGGTTTACAGGAGAATCCTCACTTTAATCCAACCTTACATTAATCCAATCACACACCAAATAGCGCTTATTAGCGCTGAAGAGAGTACTTCCGCTAAAACAATACATGCGCGCTGGCTCGTATCGGCCTTTGACGTAGTCGCAAAGGACAAAGACACTGTGTTGCGTGGGTGGCCTCTGTCTGGACTTGCAGGTGTGATCAGTGATAACATAAGTGAGTAGAACCCTTGTCTTGACCCTTGTCTTGACCCTAGCAGTGACAACTCACAGGATGTAATAATTGTTTGAATGACATTGTTTATATACAAGTGCTGCTCAATAAACAGTGATGTGGAATACATAGTTGTTTGTTTTCAGCGTATGTCTAAGTTGGTATTTCTTCTATCCAAAATGTCTTATTGTTATGTGATGTTTAATACTACGAGCAAAGACCACTCGCATTTTTCGCATTTAATTCACGGCCTTCATCAGGCACACTCTTTTTGGTTGAAAGCTTGAGATTGTGTTTTTTTATGTTTTCATTTGAAGTCCTCTGTGGGAATGAACACAAAAGAAGTATCATCATACAGTTAAATGCCATCTTTAGTCACCTCCACTCGTGACTGAGCATGAATCAACATGATCAGCTAGGCAACAAGTAGAGTGGGAATAATTGACTCACATAGGTGGTGAGGTGAGGTGAGGTGAAATGGGGTTTAACGTCGCGTCCAAGATTATTGCACTTATACAGCCAGGGATGTGAGCAGGTTTTCTCGAAAAAAGAGGAAAATTGTAGGGGGGTCTGGGGGCATGCCCCCCCCCAGAAATTTTTAAAACATTTGATTGCATTTTAAGCAATTTCGTGCAGTTTGGACAACAAATAAACAAGATGGCAGATGCAGTAAAATTTCAAAGTTAAATCAGTACTTTTAGAAAATCGGGCATAGCTTTCGCGCACCTGGCTACCCGCCAGGTCTGGGAGCAATACTGCCAGAAACGTCAACCCCCATCCCCCAGACACTAGGACAACTGTCACAAGCGTGCAATGTCTGACCCTTTCTCCATGTTGAAGCATATTGAAAAAAACTTACCTTGTACTTACCTTTTGATGAAAAAAACGCTGAAGAAACATTCATAAATTTCTCGCTTATCACATGAACAACTGTAAAACATCTCATTCGCTTACAGGGTAAAAGACAACTTTATCTTAAAAACAAGCCATCAGCTGACTCTGAGTATTTACAATTTCTGTGTGACGCCACACCCCACGTTATAGTGCAAGTATTTGAGACAGAAAACGTATGATGTCCGAAAACCTATGAGGGTGAAAGCTCTGATCGAAAACAGGACAATCCGCTCCAATTGTCCGGTTTTCGATCATATTTTTCGGAGTGTTTTTTTTTGTTTTGTTTTTTAAATTTACGCGGAAGATGATTTTTTCCGAGGATTACTGTTTTAAAAAACGCGATTTTCCGCGTTTCCGCGGAGATTTCACATCCCTGTACAGCGACGTGCATGCACATGTTTGTGTGGCTGCTTGTACTAGTCCGGACTGATGCTGATTTATAATGCTAGCTCACTGATACCATGCAGCAGTTTAAGATGAATACCTCACTCAGACACAGTATACTGACTCCGAGCCGACCAGTCCTTGTTTTAGCCCCTTAATGCCGAGCGCCAGACAGGGTAACAACAAGTACCATCTTTTAACGTCTTTTGGTATGACACGGCCGGGGGTCGAACCCCGCTCTCCGGGCGGACGCTCTACCACTTGACCACGGAGGCGGTCGACTCACATAGGTGTAACAACACTTTGAACTATATTTCAGTTACACTCCGGCATGTCAGGTTGACCTGGGAGGAAAGCCCAAGGATTTAAGACATGCACCATTATGGTAACATTCACATGCACAGCAGGTAAGGTTCTTACAAACCAAGGATCATAATTACGGTAAATTTGGGATGCAATCCCCAAAAGATAGGATTCTGGATCTTCTAGGAACAAAGTGAATTCTAGTGCTTTAGACCATTTGGCCAGCATGCCAACAGCTAACTATAGCAGTAGACATCATCCACACACTATCAATGATAGCACACAACAAGCCACTCATCTGACCACCCAATCCATTTGGGTCTTGGTACACCAACAGAGTACTGAATACCTACTCTACAGCAGCACTCGAAAACCCATTGGGACCACATTTAGAAAAACATAAAATATTTTTCATTAAATTTTGAAACGAAAAATGTAATTTACTTTGATAGGATTGGTTTCGGGTCATTCTTTGAGGTGCAAGCCCTCCAAACCGCTGTTATGTTAACAAGGCAGTAAGAAAAACTTTGAAACTGTTACTACGGAGACAGCTTGTGCATATTCCTTCCCAATATGGCCAAAGGTATCAAGAATTCGGTATTCTAGTCTTAATCTCTTCCAGCGTCAAACAATACATTCCTGGTACTCGTTCTAACCAAGGACAGGGCTACTGCAAGTATCAGGCATTCAAATGAAACAGACTGGGAACTACCTGTCCATGAGGGCATCTTCAAACAGAGGTGACACAGCATAGATGTAGTCCTTCCCCATTTCTCCGATATATTCAAACATGAAGGACAGAGACTTGAGGACACCGTTCTGGACATTCAGCTCGGGCACGCGGTACTCATTCATCAGGGCTGGCAACACAGTGAAGGGGGAACACGTCTCCGCTACAATGGCGATGGCAACTGTCGTACACACTCTGTTCTGTCTCTCCTGCACTTTTAGGTTGTTGAGGAGGGTCGCCAACACGTCATGAGGACTGTAAATGAATTACATTGGTTTATATTTGCTAAGAAGTTTATTCAATTATTATCATTATAAAAAAAATTCAAATAATTGGTTCCAGATGGCAGAAACACGACTTGCAGTTTGACAAGAAAATGTAAGTTCAGATTTCAATATACACAAATACACAAGTAACGAGTATATTCATGTCATGCCGTGTTGGCTTAATGTAGGAGAGCTCCAAGATATGTACATCACACTTTGTCAAACCCAGTACTGACAAACTGACAATCAAAATCAGTGATAAAAAACAACTGAGTTTAACAAGAGGGATTTTACATTGTCAGCTGCTGTGCTTTTATCTACTGACTATCCTGGCCGCCAAATGGATGGGTTTTTTTAAGCTGCGCCAAGCAATATTCAGCACTATCACAGCAGCCAGTGCATGTGAGTCTTGGCCAGCAATATTCAGCACTATCACAGCAGCCAGTGCATGTGAGTCTGGGCCAGCAATATTCAGCACTATCACAGCAGCCAGTGCATGTGAGTCTGGGCCAGCAATATTCAGCACTATCACAGCAGCCAGTGCATGTGAGTCTGGCCCAGCAATATTCAGCACTATCACAGCAGCCAGTGCATGTGAGTCTGGGCCAGGTAATCCAAAGGTTGATAAAAGGAGTTTTATCAAGAAAACTGCAAAAATCATCAATATGCTACTTCAACCATTCCTTTTCATTGAGACCTATGCATGTACATGTGATCTCATTGTGATATTGCTGATACAACACTAAATGTGGACTCCCTCACTCGTCAGTGACATCATATCTTACCCAATAGCCTTGGCAATGTAGCCAAAGGTGTTGACAGTGGCTCTCCTGATGGCCTTCTTGTGGGCCTTGAGTAACTCGAGCAGCTCAAAGCAGATTCTCATCCATTCCCTAGCAGACACAAACTCTGCTCCGCGGTCAGCGATACGGCCAACCAGGTCGATACAGTTCTCCTGTACCTTCTCGTGTCTGTTCTTGAGGATTGGTGTGAGCCTTGGCAAGAGATCCTTGATTGGAGGCGTCATCTTGGTCATCCCGATGACATTAACAATGCCCTTCAGAGCTCCCAGGATTGAGCCGAGAACCTCGGGGTATTCTTCTCCCAAATATTCGTACAACACCACACCCAAATGGCCCATCAGTTTCTCCTGTTTGTGGAAGAAACGAATATCAGAAGTGTTGCATAATCAGAAGAAACGCTTCAGGACATATCCTGATTCAAAAACAATGTTCAAAATTAAGCACAAAAGTCTAGAGGTCATTGTCATAACCCTAAAGATTAAGGGGTGCCTGGGCTCATATACTATAGGAGCAAACCCAAAGGATCCCCAAACGCCCTTAGTTAATTTCGAACACTGCTACAATATGTACATATAAGATTATGGCCAATGAAAATCTAATCTGGATGAATCAGTTTGATGTACCGTATTCGACTTAATAAGCGCCCCGCTCTAATAAGCGCCCACGGCGATAATTGCTAACATATTGGCTAGTGAACAATCCCAATTAGCACCCCTTCCGATTGATCAATGTACACAAGAATTATTTATTCGTGTATAATACGCACTCGTGTGTTATATGCACCCTTACTTATGGGCAATTAAATTTTGGAAAAATATATGTCGTACATAAACATTTCAGGCTGGCAGCATAAACCACGAAATTTATCTTTCAACTCTGTTCTTTCCACCAAAATAATATTCTAATAAGAGCCCCCTATTTCTAATTTTGAGAGCACCCTGGGCGCTTATTACGTCGAATACGGTAATTATGTTGTCATAAATGTTTTCATTATAAGTCTTCACTATCAAGTTTGATTGACATTACCTATTGCAGTAGAGATGCCCACAAACTTAAGTGGATGCATTATTTTAGTAGCAATAAACATGTCAAACACATTACAAACTTAACCTACCTCCTGACAAGTTTTCATAACAATGGCTATCCTGGAGATGAGATCAGCCGCCTGTTGTCGAACTTTGGCCGACTTATTGTTGAGACGCCAGAGGATGGTACCACAGATCTGGGGGAGATAGGGTTTCACCCGCTTGCCCAGCGCATTCACCACTGTGCCGAAACCATTCAACATAACCACATCCTGAAAACGAATTGAATATTGAATTTTCCGCTCTGTTCACTGATCATATGACGAAGGACACACTAAACAAAAAAATAGCTACTGTCAAACTGATTGCTGGGTATATCATGGCGACAATCTCCATAAGCATGATAAGTATACAAGGTCTCCATCTCCCGATGACCAGATGGTTACGGACAGAGGAGACAAGTGGTAACCGGCAGGCTACAATGTCTCTAATCGGCTCTTTCAAGTCTGTTACAGAATGGAGGCCATTATTTGAGGATAGCATGTCCTGTGTCACATGATAAGCAAGAGGTAAAATCACAGACAGGGATGTGAACTATTTTCAATATATTCTTAACTAAATATGTCATGTGATACAGATACAAACTTCCTCGTGCGACAACACTTTCAACACTGGTCCAGAAACAGTGAGTGATTGAGTGAGTATGGTTTTACGCCCCTTTTAGCAATATTCCAGCAAAATCACCATGGGAGACACCAGAAAACGACTTCACAGATTCCCCGTGTGGGGAACGGGGAATCTGGTCTTCGGCATAACAAGTTAACACTTTAACCTCTAGGACACCACATCAACCCACAGCTAAGGCAACAATCAAACAGCTAAGGCAACAATCAAACAGCTAAGGCAACAATCAAACAGCTAAGGCAACAATCAAACAGCTAAGGCAACAATCAAACAGCTAAGGCAACAGACAAACAGCTAAGGTAACAATCAAACAGCTAAGGCAACAATCAAACAGCTAAGTCGACAATCAAACAGCTAAGGCAACAGACAAACAGCTAAGGCAACAGACAAACCGCTACTTCAACAGCAGTGACAAGTCATCCAACATACCTCCGTGGTCTGTTCCTGGAAGGAGTACAGGATACCGTCAATCAGCTGTTCTTCAAGACGTGAATCAATATCGGCGGCACCAAGATTCGACATGATCTTCTCAATGGTCTCCATCACCATCTTACGGTACTGCTCAGCCTCATCCTTCAGGTCATCAACGACGCGTCCAACAATCTCCGCTGCACCAACCTTGTTGGCAATCTCGACTGTTGTGTCCACCAGCTGGAGAGCAGAGGAAAGATGTCATGCCATGTCAACGACTTGATTTGGCTAATGCGAACGTGCTGACACACAAACACTGCCTAACACACTTACATCACCTTTTTAAATAATGCTTCATTATTGATCATATTAAAAGTCTTAACATCGCTAAATGTACCTGTCTGTAGTTTCTCCTATCAAGAGCCATTCTCTGGTTCCAGAAGTGCTTGAAGAAAGCTGGTAGAATCTCATCTTTGATGTACTGGGGTTCAACACCATCGGTCGCACAGCACTGCTTCACCACCTAAACACACACAAGAACAACCATCAGCAAACATTACCACTGGGTAGGAATGAGCGAGATTTGCTTCACACTTTGAACAGTATAACAGTTATACCTAAGCCTGTTGGCTTAATGTGGGAGCAAAGCCCGAAGTGATGCAAGTCTCAGACTTTTACTACTTTGGTGAAACCAACAAGCAGGTATGGTGCTGACAGTGAGTGAGTGAGTGTGGTTTTACACCACTTTTAGCAATATTCCTGCAATATCACGGTGGGGCACACCAGAAATGGCCTTCACACATTGTACCCATGTCGGGAATCGAACCGATCTTCGGCGTGACGAGCGAACGAACACTTTAACCACTAGGCTACCCGACCGGCCCATATGGTGCTGACAAACCTAGAAACATAATCAGGGTGAAGCGGGATTTGAACACACAATCATACATTTGTTGACATACTCGTGCTTAAAACTTGATTTCCTGTTGCACATCCATTTCATAGGGTAAGGTACTTTTTCTGATTATTACTTTTTCAGAATCACCTACTCATTTCATAATGTGGAGTAGCATGAAAATTCTTAGAAGAGTCTTTATTGTGGATGTCAACTAATAATAGTAGTCTGAAAAAAATAATGGAAGTAAGCTTTTTATTTGCCAAGGTTCATGCAGATATGAAACACAAAAATTCAAAGCCTTTCCAACTCTTTCAGCTACCATTTTCAAGGCTTTTAGGTTGCGTTAGTCTGTCAATATATTTTGTTCAAATCCATCTTTCTACTTATCATGCTTATTACATGTACCCGTAGTGAGACCTTAAAAGCAGTATGAACATGACAAATGTAACCAAAACGATATATTTTCACACCCAACAAATACAAGAGTCATCAGAAGACGACAAATCCCCCCCTGACCCCTACAATAGCAAAACGTACCACTTCAGCCCCTGGTTAATACAGTACTGATGCTAGTTTTGATAATAAATATTTCACCGTTATGAAGTTATGCTCTCGAGACGAAATAAAGACAGGCGGACAGACAGACCATGGCAATATCCCCCTGCATCATATCCAGGGGATGACATGAATTAAGTCTGTCTTGAATTTTAATACTTCTTTGAACAAGAGTGTGTCATTTTGTACAATTTCAAGGCTATTCAAGATATTCTTCGTGATTTTCAAGGCGTTTCAAGGTTGACAGTAAAAATCTGGGATTTTCAAGAGGGTCTTTAAAATTCAAGGCTTTTTCAAGTCTGTATGAACCTTGATTGAAATTTCCCCTAATTTTAATTTAATTTTTTTTCTACATACTTCTTGACATATTCAGTAAATTTGAGTGAAATAAAAAAACTGAAAACATGTGTACATACCATTGTACATGTCCTCCTAACATATTTAACATCATAAGAAAAGCCCCGGGCCCCTTTCACAAAGCGTTCGTAGCACTACGACTGTTGAAAGACTATCTTAAAGTATTGAAGTTACGACTGTCTTAGTGCTAAGACTCGTAAGTCTATGTTACTGTATTTGAGTTACAATCGTCTTAGTGCTACAACTGTGGTAAGTTTATGTTACTGTATGGGAGTTACAATCGTCTTAGTGTTACGATCCCTTTGTGAAAATTGCCCTGATTAGTACTGACCTTAAGTACAATCTTTTTCATTTCCTCATCAGGAGACTGGAACTCTCGGATGAGGATCAACATCACTTCCCTGGTGTAGTAGTTGGCGTACTCAGCATCCATGAGGGGGATCAGGTAGCCAATAGCCTTCAGGAAGGCAGCAAGACCCTGCACAATACAAATTCAGCTCACATTAGATGATCACTAAGGCATTGACCACACAATATTCCGGAGGGGGCCTGGGAAATTTGTTCGAAAAAAAGGGCGAGGTGAAATGGGGTTTAACGTCTTAGTCAAGATTATTGCACCTACTTGTGACGTGGGTGAGTGTATGCTTCTTGAACAGATTTCATAGTGCTAGCCCACAGAGAAATTCACCGCAGTTTTAACCATGTTAACATGGATACTCCAATCAGACATTATATACTGATTCCCAGCCGAACAGTCCTTGGTTTATCCCCTTACTGCCGGCCGAGTACTACCCTCTGAACGTCTTTTGGTATGACGTGGCGGGGCTTCAACCAAACTTCCACTAACGGACAGACGCCAGATTTTAACCCACTAGATTTAAAATTAATACAATATTTATATAATATTAACATCTAAAGACATACAATTTTATTTGTGTACAGGATGATTCAAAAACATCAAAAGGGGATTCAACCCAGTAGTGTAAGAATCTGAAAAGGATGCAACTGTTCAGTTTAATGAAGCGCCTAAGAGGACAAGCAGGTGGCCCAAAAAGCATTAAGATATGCTTGTTTCTCCAAGAAAGTCTGCATGTTCGCTGAAGGAAACTAGCAAAACATACCTTTCCTCTGTGTTGACGAATACCCTTCCAGAGAGGTTTGAGGACACTGTCAAAAGATTCAATACCATAGGGCGTGGCCGCTTCAGCCAAAGCAGCCAAAGCCAGGGCAGTGATGGTTCGTACTTTCTGCTGCTCATCAACCAAGCCTGGAAATAAAGGGCTACAGATAAGACAGCTGAAGGGAATGATAGTTTCAGATTCTTAAATCTTTTTATTTTTTTGTATGTGTTCCCAGGAAACACATTCCTGCATTCAAATATTTGACACAAAGTATGTTAATCTCTGCTTAAATGATTAATCAAAATTTGTTCTTTTGTTCAGTTTCAAAAATTTTAATTGAGAACTTTGTCAACATATTTTTCAAGCTTGGTCAGAAATGGAAGTTGCCAGTTTGAAACTTGTGCAATAAAGCTTGAGAAAGCTGCATTCTGACTGGCTAATGTCGACCTCTTGTTAGTCATTTCATCGGTCGGTTCATGAAGTTCGTGAAAAGTCATTCTGGAGTGACCCATAATGGGATGTCCTCAGATCTTTGTTTGGCGGTAGTGAGAACTAAGATTATGATTTTGAAAAGAGATTGCACTAAAACACTTCCAGAAGGAATTATTTCCCCTTGAACAGGTTCAAATACAAATAACTGGAATTATTTTCCCCATAATAAAGCCTTACCATGCTCAATAATCTCGACCAAATTCTTGAGATGAGGAAGTATGGCACAGCCCATGAGGATGGCTATCTGTTGTACAATCTTGATACCAGTATGTCTGGCTTGCCAGGACTTCTTACTCTTGCACACAGCCTTCAGGAAAGGCAGGAGAGATGGGATGCCAAGAGCAGAGGCCACAACGGCAAAGGCTCGAGCAGTGGTGTTACGGACATACTCGTCCATGTTGTCAATGTCGGGTCTCATTGTGGAGATCATGGTGGCAAGACCAGCGGCCTGGGAAGAAGATCAGATCATTTCAATACATTCACATATTAAACAACATCTCTGATGCTGTATCTGTTTGTTTCTCTAGTTTCCTTGCCAAAATATATTTATCTTCCCATTCACAGTTAATATAAGAAGGTTTCTTCCAACCACCAATTTGAATATATATCATAAAAACTGATATATTTCTTTAATTTGACAAAAAGTAATTCTTGTTATATTTTATTGGATGGCTATTTGGGAAGTGAAGTAACTCCACATGTAGCCTTATTTGGTTTGCTGTCTTGTAAGCTCTCCTCTTTCAAATGCTTGACTTTGCATTTTTTCTTGTTGTTTAACGCCGCACTCAACAATATTCAAGCCATATGACGGCGGTCTGTTAATAATCGTGTTTGGACCAGACAATTCAGTGATTGACATCATGAGCATCGATCTACGCAATTGAGATACGATGACATGCATCAACTAAGTCAGCAGGTCTGACCACACGATCCCGTTAGTCGCCTCTTACGACAAGCATAGTTGCCTTTTACAGCAAGCATGGGTTGCTGAAGATATCATCTACCCCGGCTCTTCAAGGGTCGCGTGACATTGCAACCTTTGGACTTAAGATAGAGCACTATAACAAAGAGGAGAGTTCATGGGAACTAACACTGTTGGAAAATGTTCAAAATTCATAACTCTTGATGCCAATATTCAAATTGTAAACCTTTACAGACCTAGATACACAGCAGAAAACATATCATTTGCTGACTGAATAAGTAATAATTGCTCATTAGCAAAGGTCATACTGAAACTACTTGATCATCATATTTTCATGATAAGTTTGGGATACTGAGGACTTTTTCCTAATGAAGAATCAATATGGAGATGGTTATGCTGGAAGCATCCATTCAATAACGCAAACATACCAATGTATGGAGATATTTTTGAAATATCAAAATAACAAAGTTTCAGACTTACCTTCGCCAAGTTTGAGATAATTTCTCTCCCTTCAACACGGGCATAGTAGTCCTCATCAATGAGCAGAGGCTCAATGACCACAAGGATCTTGTGTACATAGGGTCGGACCAGATCGTCCAGCTTGTACAGGATTCGGTCAATGACCTTCACTAGCAAGTGACGTTCCTGATCCTCCAAGGTCGGGGACATCAACAGTGGTAGGATCTGATTAAACAGGGGACCAGCACCAAACTCGCGGGCCTTGTCTGTGATCTGACGTAGAGCAGCCTGTAGGGAACAGAGAACAAGAGTCATCAGAAGATGACAAATCCCCCAGCCCCACAAATTAAGAAGAACAAATCATCTGTTGCTATATATACAACTTGATGAGCTAATTTCTATCTATCTGTTCATCCGCATACAAGAGTGGTCCAAATTGTTTCCATGGAAATCGAGAAAATAATGCCCAAAATACACAAATAGCAAAAGGCACCTCTTCAGGATCTGTTTGATATATCTGACAAGTTTTGTTGAAAGATAGTGAAAGTATTTTGAGTTGTGCTCCGGAAACAAAATCCACCCCCTTATGGAACTAAGTACAAATTGTTTCTATGGAATTCAAGAAAAAAAAAAGCCAAATATCTGTAAGTAGCAAAAGGCACCACTTCAGGATCTGTTTGATACATCTGCCAATTTTTGTTGAAAAATATCGAACGGTTTTACGTTGCGGAAACAAAATGATTACAAACTGACCATGCTGACAGACAGACAGATGAGGCGTCGACTATATCCCAAGGGGGATAACAAATAGGCACTGCATACTGTTTCACTGGTTTCCAATGGAAAACCAAGTGGAAACTATAGGTATACCGTATTGAGGCTGAAAAATTGAGTGAATGTCTTTCTGCAATATTCCAGTTCTATCCCACAGGCCTCAAGTAAGTCTTGGCCAGGGACACCAGTGGTTGATGAAATGAACTCTAGTCCACACCACCAGTACATTGTGATTGTCAATAACATTGAACCCTGTCTTCATCAGTTGGCTGTTATGAACAAAGAGACCTATTTTTCTGTGAATACTAATTTTGATATTGTTCATACAGAGATGAGATTACTTTTTTTATGAAGAAAACAGCATACCTTTCTCATTGGTGGCGTGCCATTCTTTATTTTGAGGAGCAGCTTCATAATCTTCCTCTCCTTCTGTTCCTCTGGCGTCAACGACTCTTCGTCTACATCCACCTGTAACACCACAAGGATTGACGTACTACCAATCAACAGCAAAGGAACATCAAATTAGGAACACCATCTGTTCCTTGTTTCAAGCTGCAGTCAGCAATAAGGCCTTAACGTCATGGCTCATCAACAGCGATACAAACAGTTTCAGTCCACTAGTCCTTGTATAAGTTATAATGAAAACATATAGCAAAACCCTAAAAAGGGTAAATTTCTACTAATTCTTTGTATAACCTAACTATTGATCAGTTTGGCAAGGAGTATAGGACTAGTGCCAATTTCCAACTCTGCTCGTAAATAAAGTCTTCTTGATTGTTAAGTAAGCATCCATATTGTTTACAGTATTATTTCAGACTGTAGCGTGTGGTAACTATGTTATTCTGAAAATCACAGATACAAGTACAAAGGCACTAGATAGTAAGTATGCCAGTTGATTAAATATTCTTGGGAATACTTATCATATTAAACATAGAAAAAGGTTATTTGTGCATGTCTTCCAAGCATCTAAAAATTAAAACTTCCAAACCAATCTTTAAGCAAGCTCAAATTGAAAATTCTTATTTGTGATGTCCATTTCATCTTTAAAAAACCCACACAAAAGAAATTCCACAGATATTTCTTACAATAAGACGTGTGTTTCTTTGTTACATGATCAGGATTTGCTTGTGACAACTTGTAAACTACCTCGCGTAAACTGTCATGTTGCTGGACCCGACATCTAGCAAAACAGCGAGTGAGTGAGTGAGTTTCTTTTGGGAATATTCCAGCAATATTCGGCAGGGGACACCAGACACAAGAAAACAAGAAATAATGCCAGACATTGCAAAACATCACAGTCGCAAGTCGAGAGTCCATTGTGCCCCTCAGGCGTGTAACCACCTGATCATCGTTAATAATTGGAATCAACTCTTATGTCACACATGGGCTCCTGGGGACTTCTTGTACCCAGAATCTCCACATGACTGCATGACAACAAAACTCACCAATAGTTTGTCAAAGTACTGCATATCATCCGGCTTCATCATAGGCAGATTGCCCTTGGGCTGCATGTCAACAATCTGTGTCTTGGAGTCTGGGGTCTGCATTCGGAACCCAGGGGTGCCAGCCATCGGGGTGGGGGTGGCAATCAGCTTCCTGGCTGGTGTTCTGATAGGTATATAGCCTGCCGGGGGATTCAGCACCTGGACAACACAAAGCACATCACTGAGCATTCTGTTTTTGTTAGTGTTTTGTTTAATACCACGCTCAGCAATATTTCAGCTATATGTCAGTGGTCTGTAAAGAATTAAGTCTGGACCAGACAATCGAGTGATTGACATCATAAGAACCTATCTCCGCAATTTGGAAACAGCAAGAATCAACCAAGTTAGTGAGTCAGAGAAACCGACCCCATACTTGGTTCTTACGACAAGCATGGTTTGCTGAAGACCAATTCTAACCAGGATCTTCACAGGTTGATTGACTAAACACAAAGTAAAACACTGAGTAAATTGGAGTACCAATATGAAGGTCATTAATTTACAGAAAGATACTCTCAAGACAAACTAGCTGTTTTGACCACCGAAAATATGATGCTGGGCTGAGATCAACCTTAGACTCCAAGGCAAGTGCCAGTGGCAGGCTAATTGGGAAAAATACTTACGTTCTTAAATTTCACTGAAATTATCAGGTCCAGATAAATTCCTATTGCGATAAATAATTTTCAAGCCAAAATGTCACCAAATAGGAATACAGCAGGTTACAAAGATCAGGAAAGTGAAGAGAAAAACATTCAAGATTAAATCGCTGGATATGAAAAAAAGGAATTTAATGGTGCAGAAAAAATACAACACACAGCAAATTGTGCAAAGGCTTCCATGGCCTTGAAAATATGGTCGAGGTTTCCATCATCAGTTGGGGTCTGTCCACACCCTTAAGTCACCTTTGCACCAAATCTCAACCAAATCATGCACAATTAAGTTCTTGAGATAACTTGTTAACAAATATTGAATTGTCATGTGCTTCCCATGACCTTGAAAAATAAGGTCAAGACCACCATAATCAACTAGGCCCTGCAACACCCATAATACACATTGTCACCAAAAATGTTCTGGCGTCAACTCGCTAACAATAATTACAGACACTTACACTAAGTCCTTTTCTCACACTAGCACATGATGGGGAACAAACAATATCTCTCAAGACCCCCACATACCTTGTAGCCAGGTGGGAACATTGAGTCCAGTTCGTCATCAGACAATGGTCGATTTCTTTCATCGATTTCCCTCTGCCATGTGTACGCCTGCAACTGTTCCGGGGTCATGGACATGAGGTGGCCAGGGGTTGGAGTGGCCATGGCCATGGCTTTCTGACCAGTGGGTGTGGCACCGCTAGGAGTGAAGCCGCCCGGGGTGTGACCGCCAGGAGTTTGTCCAGGAGTCATCCCTCCAGGTGTCATGGTGGGTGTGTGACCTCCAGGGGTCATGGTAGGGGTCATTCCCCCTGGGGTCATGTTAGGGGTCATCCCACCAGGCGTGGCTCCTGGGGTCTCATCCCATCGTGAACGACGTTTGCTTGCCCCTGGCGTTGGTGTGGTCTCGATCAAATCACCACCTCTGTCTGTTCGAGGGGTCTCTGCCCAACCGCTGCCATGACCAGGGGTGTCTACAATACAAACACGATTACTTCACAAACAAGAGTGGTTGAGTGAGCTGGGTCTGGCGCCTCTTTTACCAACATTCCAGCAATATTGATGTGACATGTTACACACTTACAAACAATGACAAACAAGATACAAAGACTCCCAAACAGCTGAGCATTTCAAGCAGAATTATTTATAAATAGCCAGGACACCAAGGAGTAACAATATATAGATGCCCAAAGAAAACTATCAATACCCAATGTGAATGATACCATGTGAGTAAATACTCAATGGCGATAAATATTGTCTGGATCCCTGACAAGGCATGTCAGCTTTATGTGAGATGAAAGTCCCAAGTGATGCATGTCTTACATATTTACTACTTTGTAAAACATGCAATCATGGATATGGGGCTGACAAATCCAGGATCATGGCACACCTAAGGGATGCAACTCTTCACAGCAAACACCAGTGTTTTGACAATCATCATCATACAAATCATTTACCTCTCTCCGTTTTAGGAGTCTCATCCCATCTGTTCCTTCTAGCACTTGGCGTGGCTTGATGGCCAGGGGTGTCTCTACCAGGTGTGGTCGCACCAGGGGTGGCGTGTCCTGGGGTAGAATCCCACTGTCTGGTGCTCTGGCCTGGGGTCGCACCAGGGGTCTGTTCCCCTTTGGCTCTACCAGGAGTTTCATCCCATCTGCTGTTTGATGGGGTAATGGCTTCTGCCGCATCCCATGACGAGGTTTTCTTCTTGGTAGGAGCATCTTCCTGGGCGGAGGACTGGTCCCAGCGTTTCCTCTTTGTGGGTTGTTTATGCCCTGCATCACCCCCAGCTCCATTGACGGCCCGCAGTTCACCAGCCTTAGCCTTCTCGTGCATCTGCTGACGCAGCCCGGCCTAACAGAAAAGAAACATGGAATAAACTTATAATGTCCTAAGAAGGAGGCTGAATGTTTATTGTACTATCCATTTACTAAGACAGTGAGTGAGTGAGTTGGGTTTAACGCCGCTTTTAACAGTATTCCAGTTATATCACGGCGTGTCAGCTTAATGTGGAAGGAAAGCTCGAAGTGATGCAGGTCTCAGACGTTTACCACTTAGGTGAAACCCACGAGCAGAGGTATGTTACTGACAAACCTAGAAACATATTTGGGGCGAACCGGGATACGAACCCACAATCATAGGTTTCTGGCGTGCCCAAGGGACTCGACTCTGCACAGCGAATCGCGGCGCCTTAGACAACTGGGCCACCCGTGCCCTTTTTTTATTAAGACAGAGCAAGTATATGTTTGCTCTACCATGTCTACTGTCAACAATATTCCAGTGGTTAACAGCAGTCCATGTCATATGTCTACGATGACACAAACTATTTCCAACAATATAACAGTGGCATGTACATATTAGTGTGGGTCACAGGAAAACCAGAGGCGGACAGCATGAACTACATACAATCAGCCAGGTCACAAATTGTAACCATCAGTTACCCTTCATTATTAGTCAGCATTTGTGACTAACACTGTTTTACCGGCCAAGGGAACACTTCAAATGCTATAGGACCGCCTCCATTGTCTACAGCCTGGTGCTCTGCATTAAGGAGATAAATCAAGGACTGGGTCGCCCGTACTCAGTGTACTGTGAGAGGGTTGTCTATGTAAACTGTTGCATGGTATCTCAGTGGGCTAGCACTATAAAACCTGCATTAGCCTGGGCTAGAACAAGCAGATGCAAGAACACACACTTTGCTATACAAGAGCAATAATCTTGAGTGCAACATTAAACCCCATTTCACATCATTCACCTAATGCTTGTTTGTGTATTTGATGTATTGTTTAACGCCACACTCAGCAATATTCCAGCCACATGATGGAGGTATTTAAATAATCAAGTCTGGACCAAACAATCCAGTGATCGATATTGTGAGCAACTATCCATACCATTGCGGAAAGATGACATGCAAGTGACCACACGATCCTTTTGGTCACCTCTTATGACCAGCATTGGTTGCAGGGATCTATTCTAACCCGGACTCCCACACAGGTTTAACACTATACCTAGTACGTCAGAATTAAAAACATTTTCCATAACTGTAGTCCTTTTCCACATTCCTATCTCAGCACCATCATTCCTTGCATTTGACAAATAATTACATCAGATACAGTGTCAACTCACTGGAAAACTGAAGTTTCAGATTAAGGGGGGCTGGTGTCTCTGAGGTCTTCTATGGCATATGATTGGTTGGTTGTTAAATGCTGCACTCAGCAATATTTCAGGTATATGACGGCAGTCTGTACATAATCGAGTCTGGACCAGACAATCTATTGATTGACGTCATGAGCATCGATCCACGCAATTGTGATATGATGACAAGCATCAACCAAGTCAGTGAGCCTGACCACCCGATCCCGTTAGTCGCCTCTTACGACAAGCATTGTCGCCTTTTACGACAAGCATGGGTTGCTGAAGACCTATTCTACCCAAGACCTTCACGGGTCCAATGGTATATGAATCCAGGTACCCCCTAAATCTCTATCTCATAACATCAGGATTACGACAAGGAAACTTGAGTGCGTAATTTGGATCACTGGAAAGTGACACAATCTCATTTTTTTCCACGTTTACTATTCTTACCTGTTCTTTGCCGAGCTGCAATTCTGTCATAACATCTGAGAAGGTTCTTGCTTGAAGCTTTGGATCAGGTGTTTTGCCTCCTACAACATAAAGCAGAAGAGTCACGACATGCGCCGTGACGAAAATAAATAGACATTAACTTCATAGCCATATTCTCTGGAGAGTAGCAGTAATCATTGCCTATATTACAACATCCCAAGAACTACATGTGAAAGATCAGAGTATGGGGAAACATCAAGCAAATACATTGATGCACAATATATACCACTCAAAAGTAAAAGCACACCTAATTTTTTCATATGACTATAGTTAATCTGTCATAGCCATGACAGGTTAGCTAAAGTCTTATGAAAACATTGGGTGTTCTTTAACAAAAAATTTGTGGTATATATGGCATGAGCATGACCAGAAAGATTGTCATATAGAATTATCACAGAAGTCATTGGGTAATAGCTGGAAGTCTCCATGCAACCATGTGCATCTTTTCAAAGAATGTCTGACCAAAGGCATAGAACATTGTTTGGTGACTTATTTCCAAATACTCTGAAATTTCCACCCTACTATAATTGTATTGTGTGTTACCTGTTCATATAGTGATGACTGGTGTGATCCTTGTGTAGTTCTTGGGGAAATGGCCAGAAATCAGTGATAAAATACACATGTCGGTCTAAACCTCAGTTCACTATCATCTCAGGCAAACATTGCAAATATTATTTTGTTTTAAAAAAGATGAAACATTTTAAAAATCCCAACATTCTCCAAACTTTAATCACATTCATTAAAATCCAAACCAAAATATCTGAACCCACAGCCTCATTTTTTTAATCAGTGTTCAGAATAGAGTCCAAAGCTTGTCTGAGATTCAGGACCTGTTTCAAAGGATTTTTTTTATAATATTAGCCTAAGTATAAAAAAAATTCACATGAGGGCTGGATACTTTTCAAAGATGAAAATCAAAGGATAGATAGCTCCTAATCTGATTTCTGGCCACTTCAAGGTATCTGCACCATGGCATTGTATACGTACACCTTGGGTCTTCAGGTTCCAGTCTTGCTGCAACGCCTCCCTGAGTAATACTCAGACCTCACAACTCCTAAAATTAGTCTCAGATTAGTGTAGTTCTAAACCACCACACACATACGCAACATATAGAACTACCCACACATCTCACAGAATAAACCTTGCATCGTATAAAGGCTGCTTGTACATCATGCAAGATACCCATACCATTAAAACAAGGAACGAATTATTACATATTAATGAATATGTTTTTCATCATTGCAATGGTTAAACAGACCTGTTAAAAACAACTGGCGATATGTACTTAACATGTTTATATGGATTCACCACATTACTTTCCGAAAATTTAATAAATCAAGATTATTTTGTTATTAAAGAACCTTGCCAGTGTCATTACTATATAGATGTAATAAATATCATATATAGTTGTCAGGTTCTTGGGCGATGTCCTCAACGAATGAAGGAAGCTAGAAAGGAAAATATTTGACATTAGTCTCGGGTTGACTGATTGTTCTTTGTCACATGACAATCCTACAAGTTCGCCTTCCTCCACTGAGGTTTATGTTGTACAAACTTCGCTTCGTCATAGCCAACTTGCAAACACAGTGACATTCATTCACAGTGACAGGTCAACAATCTTGTACGCAACTTTTATTTCCTAAATACATGTATGTGACATAATTATCCCCATTTTCAAATATTCTCAACACTATCGTCCTACATTTTACTTTACCCCATATGGTTTAACTATAATCCTCAAGGCTCTACCTAAGTATCATGAAATCATCAAGATGACAATATATTGATACTGCACAGATCTCCCGTAATCCTTTCAATGGCAATCTCATAAACGCAAAAAAAAACCTTGTAGGAGAAGGTTTAAGATATTGACGTCTGGCCAGTAATGGACCAAAACTTCTTATCACTGCTTAGTGTGTGACTAATGCTTCATCTTACATGATCTAATAAGCATCACTCCCCTTGTGAGAGTCCCTAACTACAAATAACGTCCGATGTGAGGGCCTTCTGCTACTTCCATTCAAAATCCATTCCTGGCATGTCCGTTGTTGTTAGCCAATACTTCTCTAGTTGTATGGCCAGAATCAAAGATTACATGAAAGAATACTCGTAACATAATAATAAACATACACATTTGACAGCATTTACACTGTTGTGAAGAGATGACCAATGACCAGTTGTAAAACATCGCGCGAAACTCTACATGCTAAAAAAAAGTCATTCCCATGTTAACACATTAAAAGCCAGTCCTCCTCCCCTCATCGTCAAATTTCCTGAAACTAAATGGGTTGAATACCTCCAATACCCATCTTCCTACCGACACTGACACAGAATGGGTTGAATACACCCTACCTGCTGAAAGACTTTCTACTTCCTTATTCCTCAAAAAGACAAATTCATAAAATGTTTCTTACTCTCACTATCCTTACATTTTTCAACGGTTATCACAAAATATATAAAACAATAAAAATATAGATTTCATACCCTTTATCAACAAACACTGAACAACCACCCATACCACAAAATATCAATGACATCCATCATAATGGTCGAATAGGAATCAGAGGAAAATGACAATTGCGACATTGAGCGTACAAATCATTAAGAAGACTCAAGGTGGTAAACAAACAGACACAAAGAAGAAGTTGATGGGCTTTGTACTAACCGTCAGCAAATGGATCATATCTTTCGGGCGAAATGATCATCTGACGTCGTCTGGCTTGGTATTCAGTTTCGCGGTCAGCAATCTTCGCCACCCGATGATCAGCCAGCGGATCATAATCCTACAACATTTAATGTGTAATAATTGATAGACTCGAACTATAAATCTGATACAAACATCATAGTTGAGTGTCGTCCTGAAAGTGGCGAGTTTGCTTTGTTTGACCCTTGTGCACTCAGGATTGTTTGTTGTTTAACGCTGCACTCAGCAATATTCCAGCTATATGACAGCTGTCTGTACATAATGGAGTCTTGAGATCAACATGTCAAGAGCAAATGTTCACAAGGACAAATGAGGGGTAGATCCTCAACAATAAATTTGTATGTTGCCAGCAGGGCATGCTCCTTTTAAAAGTTACTGGCCCGTTTCCAAATTGGCCTACAACTAAACGGTGGAGGCTGTGGAGTAGTTGAACTTAGGGTCACGCAGCCACCCCGCAGGACTCGGAAAACATCAGAACTCCTCAACCCTAAAATGTTTTTTCCTGCACTCAGCATGCTCAGAGTAAATCTTGGCTTCCATTTGCCTTATTTTGTAGTGATTTATGAGCAGATAAAGTTGTTGAACACAACATTACAAAATGGCGCCCGTTTTTCATTCTACCAAGATGATCAAATTAAAAAAATTAAACATGCACCATAAGGAGTGAATTTTGACTCGCCAGGCGGGCCATGTTCCTTACGTTTTCAGCAAGCCCTTTGTAATTTTAACAGGCCACGGGCAACCAGTTAAATTGACCCCTGCAAATGGTCCACCAAGGGCCTTGTTCCACAAAGATACTGTAGAGCTAAGACAATCGTAATTCTCATACTTTACCATAGGCTTACGACAACATGGCAATTATGTCTTTATGGAATGGGGCACTGATCCAAATTAGTAGCCTCTTATGACAAGCAATAGGGTTCAAGGGACCTGTGCTAATGATTACTAAACCTGATCCACATGGGTTAAACATAACGTATGAGTTGGGTTTAACGCTGCTCTTAACAGTATTCCAGTTATAGCATGGCGTGTCAGCTTAATGTGGGGGGGAAAGCCATGAAGTGATGCAGGTCTCAGACGTTTATCGCTTCGGTGAAACCCCCGAGCATGGGTATGGTGCTGATAAACCTAGAAACATAATCAGGGCAAACTGGGATTCGAATCGTCGACTTCTGGCGTGCCCAAGGGACGCAACTCTGCACAGCAAATCACGACGCCTTGGCCACCCGTGTCCCTGGACATAATGAACTCATTTAACTGAAGTTGCATATCATTTTCAACCTGCCTGTGCCAAATCTTTAAAGTCTACTTCCCCAAACTTGTATTTTGGTGTTATTTCAGTAGATTAGCATATGGACTAGCATAAGCTCATTTTATTAAAACAGAAGACATTTTTACTTGACTTGGGCTTCTGAGTGGCTATGTTCGCAGACTGCTGCTACATAGAAAGAAATGAATAAAGGGTTCATTATACTGCAGTTCCCAACATACCTTGTCGTTTGCTGTTTCATGAAGTAAGTTTAACGGTGCAGTGTAGCTTGACCGCTTAGGAAATGCTGCTCCTACATCTTCATAGTCCTGAAACATGCAAAAGAAGAAACTGAAAGATTTAACAATAATTCATTTCAATCAACATACGACAAACTACATGTGCCAGTGCCAGCCAGCTTCAGGGAAAAGTCCTCATTTTAACGCTGAAAATTTAATTTGTAATTGGAGTCTGAACATGATTTGTCCACTTTCAACATTAACCACATTCGTTGGCAGATTTTTTTGTTTCCATTCTCTTAACTTTGCCCTGAGAATGATGGGAAAATAACAAATTGTTCTTATCATTAGTTTATTTACAAAATGATCAGGTCAGTCTCAGAAGTCAGAAAACTTCATATCAAAAGTAGTTTATTCAACATAGTCAATTAAGATGTCCCCACAATAAAAACAATCTTGACTCTCACCATAACATATTACAGTAAACAATGGTTAAAGCAAACACGAAGGGAACACAAATTTTAGTTTGTTATAACCATAGTTCGTTATAAGCATATATATTACTCAAAAGAAGTTAAGGATCAACAGATTCTTTCAAATTACTATTGTTAATCTGTAATGGCATGAGAGATTAACTATAGTAATAGAAAAGAATTGGGTGATCCTTACCTTCTTTTAAGTAGTATATATACAGCATATATACAGCAAGTGGCCATTTCGTTATATCCACCAGTTCGTTATAAGCGTGTTCATCTTAAACGTAGTTTACTGTAATAATATTACACTAAATATGCCAGATAAAGCAAAACATTGTTGATCACCCGAAAATAAACACTTACTGATTCATGTTCTTACTATGTCAGTACATGCTGGACCAGAGCAATGAAAAAGATTTAATTTAAAAGTTTTTCAAAGTCAACAAGTAAAAGGCCATTCTCCCGAGGCAAGAGTCATTATATCAAAGTCCTATGTCCACCCTTGCCATATCAAACCCAAGTTCCTGTGCTAAATATGACTCTACTATCACACATATCGATAGTTCAACAAGAGAACATTTTAAAAAATCATCATGCCTGAATGTGATTTACCGATGCCTGTCTTTGTTGACATGAATGTCTATTTCGTCTTTAAAAACCCCAAAGAGCCTGTGTTTGTCAGGAATGAAATCGCATATGCTTTTGTTATCTGATCAACTAGGTCATCGTCAATGGTAGTCACCATTTTTGTGTAGCCATACGAGGTAAGAACAGCAATCTGATTGGATATCATGTTTTCATTACAAGCACAAACCGCGATCTACGAGAGGTGACGCCAAGATCAGGCCAAGAAAAGTGGGCCTGACCTGGCAAGGGTAGAAACTAGGATTTGATGTGGGCTTGTGGACATGCATGCCTCTGGAAGAAGGTACAAGGCAGAAAGAAAGAAAGAAAAGTGAAATCAAAGTGAGGGAACACACTATTTCAAGTATGTATTATTGGTGTCAGAACGATCAATATAAAACAAGAGAAATGTGAGTGCAACATACGTCAGGTTCATCTGTGGCAGCAATCGAAGTTACGTATCCAGAAAATTTGTTTGAATCATAGATGTCAACATCATAATGTCCTTCTGCTCCAAGTCCAACTCTTTCACAATCATCTTCCTTTGTCTGGACTGTTGTTAGTTGTGCTTTCTTGGCCTGGATACTTCTCACCTGCTCTTCAATCTCTGAAAAACAGACAAAAGGTGATATGCTAATTTTTACTCATGTTTAAGAACTGAATGATTAAATATCAATAACCAAAGTGGTCCCAATTACATGTATCCGTTCAGGTTATTCCCAAGCATAACCAGATAACAAGAAATGAAGGAATAATCTAACCAGAACCAAATTATTGCATATTTTTGCACTGTTAGAAATTGTGGAGTGTATATTTATCAAAGGACACCCTAAACAGTACAAATTTATGTGCAATATCTTTGTATGGTATACAAATAGGTGAATCTATCATTTTTAATTGATCGCTATTTTTTTGCTTGTGTAAGGGTCAGATGACATTAAAATTATTATGTCCTTGACTACTATTTTGTATGGGTCAGTCACTCTGTACATTGTATGTGGATCAACCAAATGCTGTGATCAAGTTTGTTGTTTAACATCACACTCAGCAATATTGCAGCTATATCAAGGCGGACAAGACAATCCATTGTCTGACATCATGAGCGTTGATCTATGCAATTGGGATATGACGACATACATCAACCAAGTCAGCAGGACTGACCATCAGTTCCCGTTAGTCGCCTTTTATCATGTTTATGACAAACATCGGCTGCTGTTGTTCAAGTTTAACTAGGATCTTCACAGGTCTGGTGACCATGTGTAAGATTGGTTGGTTGGTTGTTTAACGCCGCACTCAGCAATATTTCAGCTATATGATGGTGGTCTGTAAACAATCGAGTCAGGACCCGACAATCCAGTGAACATCGATCCAGACAATTGGGTTTGATGACATGCATCAACCATGCCAGCAAGTCTGACCACCCGAACCCGTTAGTCGCCTCTTACAGCAAGCATGAGTTGCTGAAGGTCTATTCTTCCCCGGATCTTCACGGGTCACCATGTGTAACAGGTGACTAGTCAACACAAAGAGCATGATAGCATGTCCATAAAACCTGTGTTCACTCAGGTCATTTTGCTAACCTGTTTACGAAATGTTTTAGTTTGGACAGTTTCCTGATAGCGATGTGTTCTAATAGGAATCGGAGTGGGACCGATGATCATCAATGTGTTGATTTCGAAAGCCATCCACCTGTTCATTACTGATCCTAGTTTGTGGGTCTTTCCAAGAGGGTTTTTAGACATTGTCTGTGATGTTTTGCAATCAACTTTCACCACTTCAGGCAACAATGCAGTTTACCGGGCGCAGCCCGAGCTCTACCATTCGCTCAATTACCGCACTATAGTGCCACCGCTGTCTCGTTATACCGTTACCGTGCCTCTGGTGACTCTCGCTTCACGATCCAACACCCGTTTTCGGTCTTAGGGAAACTTACACATCTTTACAATCAAACACCCGTGCTCGGTCTTAGGGAAACTTACACATCTTTACGATCCAACACCCGTTCTAGGTCTTAGGGAAACTTACACAACTTTACGATCCAACACCCGTTTTTCGGTCTTAGGGAAACTTACACGTCTTTACCATCCAACACCCGGTTTTCGGTCTTAGGGAAACTTACACGTCTTTACGATCCAACACCCGTTTTCGGCCTTAGGGAAACTTACACGTCTTTACGATCCAAAACCCCTTTTCAGTCATTAGGGTCAGCTGGCTTTGGGCAAGGGTTAGCCATTAATTCTTACATTTTCAAGCGTTAATCCAGTTAATCCCATTGGTCGGTCATGTTGACATAAACAATTGCGGGTGTGGTTTCAAGAAAAAATGAATGGGAGTGCGGGCAGTGACGTCACACGCATGCGCAATTCA